GACTGGAAAGGAGAAGCTCAAGTGGTGTGTAAAGACGGATCGTCGACATGGTTGTCAGAAGTACTGCTTGTACCTAACCTTGGAGTCAATTTGTTATCAGGGAGAAGAATTTGCGCAGCAGGCCTGAAGGGTCGTTTCAATTCACACGTACTATGCTTCAAACTAGGAAAGGAGATCATTATTAAAGCAACTATGGACGACGGCCTCTACGTAGTGTCACACATTGCCGATGGATACCACGAGACAGCATTCCTAGGCACGGAACCCCATACACCAGTTAAGAGCGAGCTTAAGGTTAATGAAAAGGAGAGATACCTGCTGTATCACAGACGTTTCGCACACCTAGGACCTACAAAGATTGCCAAACTCCACGAAGTTACAACTCTCCAGAAGAAGATTCAAGTTCCAGAGAAGATTGAAATCTGCGAAGTGTGTTCCCTGACAAAGATGAAGAACAGCATCCCTAAGCAGCTAAGAGAGCACAAGGCCACGAAGCTAGCCTTAGTACAGTTTGACATTGCTGGACCCTTTCCAACATCTCTACGAGGAAACAGGTGGTTCCTCCAAATTATTGATAGCTACACGCGGAAAAACTGGGTTATCCCGCTGAAGAAAAAGGGAGACGCACAACGGGAACTCCGAATCTGGAAGACCTTTGTAGAACATCAAACTGGCGAGAAAGTCAAAGCTGCTGGAACCGACAATGCACCAGAACTTCTACAGCAAGCTGAGGAATGGAGAGTTACACAAGGCGTGGAAATTCAGCCTACAACAATTGCTTCCTCACACCAGAATGGACCAGCCGAGCGAAACATCCAAACTGCTGAAGCTGATATGAGAGCAATGTTGAAAGACGCTGGTTTACCAATTGAGTTTTGGGATGAAGCTGTCGAAGCAGACGCATACCTACGCAACCGTACAAACACAGGACCTATGATCAATGGAAAGCAAGTCAGTCCTGAAGAGGCATTCACAGGAACGAAACCATCCATTGACCACATCCGTGTATGGGGGAGCAAATGCTATTCGTACATCAACCCTAAAACGATTCCAGCAGACCAACGACATGACAAGCTCGTGGACCGTGGCAGAATTGGAGTATTTATGGGATATTCTGAGACAACAAATAAGCAGTTCAAGTTCTATTCGCCAGAGCTTGGATACACCTCAAGGACAAGCCGATTGTCAGTGGACGAATACACCCCTGGAGGGAAAGTTGAACTACGACTGCGAAACATACCAGCTGGACCACAAGGAACGCAGAATACGATGCCAGACCGAAAACCAAGAGGAAGACCTAGGAAGGATCTAGAATTATCTCCTGCCGAACGAATGGAACCAACTCCTACCGAACGAATGGAACCATCTCCTGCAGAACCAATGGAACCATCTCCTACCGAACCAATGGAACCATCTCCTGCAGAACCAATAGAACCAGTTTCCGAGAACCTAATGGAACCATCTTCGGCAGAGCTAACTCATGAACCAGTGAAGCGTCACAGAGGAAGACCAAGGAGGCTAACTACTATTCCTCCTACTGCACCATCTGATGAGCGGGTTCCTAATCTTGTGAACGAAGAGGGGCCCGAAGAACCGTGTACCCAGTCTGTACGAGAAAAGGAGATTCCACGATACTTCACTAGACAAGCCAAACGGAAGAGGTCTAACGAAGAGATTGTTGAGGACGAGAGATTTAGCAAGATCGTTAAAGCTATGCTAGCCCAAGTTGGCCTTACAGAAGAGCAAACACGACTATCTGAGAAGGCTTTCGCAGCAACCGAGATCGCAGGAATCCAGATCCCCCAGCAGAGATGTCAACAAGCAAGTCAAGCTGGCTTGATTCTTATCGATTGCAGATCACAGACCATTCTCTGGGACGTGCCACTGTGCACGAGCCTCTATATTGTCTGTGATCTGCAATCGATAAGAATCAAGCCAGCTTGACTTGCTTGTTGACATCTCTGTCCCCCAGACACACGAGCAAGCTATCAACGACCCAAAGTATGGAAAGCAATGGAAAGCAGCAATACTTGAAGAGATAATCGCGTTAATAGAGAATCGAACCTGGGAGGAAGTTCCAAAGCCAAAAGACGCGAACATGGTTGATTCAAAGTGGGTTTTTACAGTCAAAACGAATCTCGACGGGACTGTTGAGAGGTTTAAGGCACGCCTTGTGGCAAGAGGTTTTACGCAAGCACACGGAACAGACTACAACGAGACTTTTGCCCCGACAGTCCGCATGGACACCTTACGTCTGTTTATGGCCACTGTCGCAGCGGAAAACCTGGAATGTTTCCACTTTGACATTAAGAATGCATTCACAGAGTCGCACTTGAAGGAAGAGATCTTTCTTAAGCAACCCCAAGGAGTAGAAGTCAAAAAAGGATACGTCCTTAGAGTTCTCCGCAGCTTATACGGACTCAAACAGGCTGCTCGCGACTGGAACTTGTTGATAAAGAAAGAACTTCTGGCATGGGGATTCGTACAAAGCCTCGCAGACCCGTGCATGTTTATCCACAAAGAAAAACAACTCCGTATCCTCGTCTACGTTGATGACATTGCTGCTGCTGCAAAAGATCGAGCTCAAATTGATTGGTTCTACGAGAAGCTTTCTGGAAGATTCAACACCAAGAACCTGGGGGAGATTCATAAGATCCTTGGAGTACGAGTTACGCGAGACAGAAAGCGCCGCACAATCTACCTCGATCAAGAACAGTACCTACACGCAGTACTTGACAAGTTTGGAATGTCTAGCAAACAACACAGAGACAAGAAGATTCCATCTGCAGATTACACTTCATTTAGGCCAGCCACTGACAACGACACCCGAATCGACATCACTGAATACCAGCAAGTGATAGGGAGCCTTATGTTTGCTATGGTTCTTACACGTCCAGACATTGCATTCACCCTCGGAAAGCTAAGCCAATACATGAGCGATCCAGCAGAACACCATGGCCATGCGTTGAAGAACCTGCTACGATATCTAAGGTCGACAGTGACATTGAAGCTACGCTACGGACCAGGGGGAGTACACTCGCAATTTGTCATCTACTCTGATGCTGACTGGGCAAGCGACATGGTAGACCGAAAGAGCGTTTCAGGGAGCACTGCAATGTTCTACGGAGGTCCAATATCATGGTCTAGCAAGAAGCAACGGTCTGTTGCAACGTCAAGCTGCGAATCTGAATACATCGCACTATCAACATGCTGCAAGCAAGGCCAGTGGATTGCTCAAATGTTTAGAGATCTTGGGTTCCCAAAGTACATTGGAAAAGACACCAACAAGGTCCAGATGCTAGGAGACAACCAGGGTGCCATTGCACTTACAAAGAACCCTCACCTTCACGAAAGATCAAAGCACATCGACGTCTGTTATCATTTTATCCGAGACCTAGCAGAACAAGGCAAACTCGATGTGGCCTACGTTCCAACTGCAGACATGGTGGCTGATGGAATGACAAAGCCATTGCAGCGAGTCGCATTCGAGAGATTCAAGAACCAATTAGGAGTTGTCCTTGGACCGGACCTGCCCTGAGGGGGAGTGTTAAGAATATGTTAGGTTCAGTCCAGGTCGGCGAGGTGAGGTTCGTGGAGTAAGCCCGAGCAGAAGGACCGACGCGGAATGATGATCTGTCATGTACGTCCTAAGATCATCATAACAACAAGTAGATAGAACAATAGCTCTTAGTGAAGTTCAATCCAATACAGGGTTACCTTTCGTACCTCTACTCGGTCGCCTATGGTAGTCATACCACCAGAGGAGACCTTGTTCTAACAAGACTTGTGATTTTGCGAGCGCGCCTATAATGTTGCCCTCCTGGCTAGCAATTAGTATAGGTCCGTTAGGTCTAAGTGAGTGCCTAGGCCTGTTGCTTGAGAGGTGTCGACCGGCGTTTGTAGTGCTATTAGCCTCGTAGTAGGCCTCCTGTTGCCGCCGTTGCTTGTGGCAGATCTAGCAAAGCTAGTAATTCTTCTTGTGCTTGCGGTGCTATACGCCCCAGCCGTGGCGGTAGATCCAGCTCCTTACTGCGCCGCGACTACGCTCTGCTTGGCGTCGCTCGAGGTACGGTACGCGCTTAAAATCAAGCCCAACGTAATAGTTATCGTCGTTAGGTAAGTCTGCATGTATAGCCACGGGCTTGTTAGGCTAAGCCTCGCTCGCAGTATCCCCAACAGTGGGCGCGTTCGATAGCGACGGTAGAGGAGAACTGCACTTATCGCGTTCGATAAGGCGGCGGAGGCTTGAGCTCGAAGGAGTAGACATAAAGTACACTAAATTGTTTGTGGCTAGAGTGTTGTAGTATTAGTTTGCTAGAGTGGGCGCGACGCGTCAAGGCTGCTATGTGGCCCTAGCGTAATTAGCAGAGTCTAATTGGCTCGGGTATCATCTCTAACCCAAACGAGACAAGCGTTTTCCTATTCAAGACTAGCGTCTGTCTTAGTTGCAGCGACAAGTCGTGTTCTAAGCAACACTAGAAGTTGCTATCGTGACTGCAAAACACGGCTTCAAAGAGCTAGATTCAGTCCAATTCAGTCAGTTCAGTCAGTCCAGAGGTCTCTGGACTGACTGAACTGTTATCTAGAGGTCTCTGGACTGACTGAACTGTTATCTAGAGGCCTCCGGACTGACTGAACTGATATCCGGACGGAACGAAGACTGACTGATAGCAAGTCTGGTCTGTAGTATTGGTGGTCTGCATGTGTATGTAAGTGCCTGTCGCTCACAAAAATACCGTCAGCGACAGCAGGGATGGCGAGCCAACAAGAAAACTGTCTGCGCGTGGAGATACGATTACATCAGTCCAAATCTGCCCCTCACCTATCCAGCCACCAAGTTCCGGCCAGATCTTACAACCCCGCTTCCAAGTCCAAGATTCTGCTACCATCCATCCCCAGACCCCACCCAAGCTGCCGTGAATAAATTATCTGCTATTTTATACTAAAAAAACATCTTTTCTTCCATCAAATAAGCCCTCCCATCCGCTTACTTAAGCGAATCTTCGATGGTCTAGTGGTCATGATTTCCGGTTCGTTCAGCTGCAGCCTACATCTGCATTGCACACCTACTAACAGGTAGCCAGCTTGTCATGTCTTTGGATACCCACGCGGGAGACCGGGGTTCGATTCCCCGTCGGAGAGCTCCAACTTTTTTTGCAGAGTTGTTGGTATAATTTAATTTTTGTCACGACTTCGGGCCGTGGTGGAGGCCCCGCAGGAAGTGAGGGGCAGCACCACCACCGGCATTCGGGGTAGGCTGTTATCTTCAGCTCTCCCTTGTCACGTTTGTCAGAGGGCGATCTCTTCTTTTCATCGCAATATTTTTTATCTTCTTGCGACTTTTTCATTTTTGCATATGAGGGGTCAGATGTTGATGGGTTACCAATTGAGGGGCAATCATCCCACTAAACAACATCACATGCGAATTCTTTCTGCCGCCTCCTCTCCGCTGTCAACGTCCTTTCACACAAGGCAGGCCGTCACAAGGCACAAAACTTTCAGTCTCCAATACTTGCATGTCCAAAATCTTAATAGCTACAGGCAATATCCAGAAGGTATTGCTCGTCCTTGCGTTCTCTGCTATGTATTTACTCCAAAGCATGTATTGGAGGGGGCCGTTGGACGATGACCGAGCGATGAACCCCTTGTCGCTTCACTGCCCATTGTTTCATCGTGTTATCAGTTCACCAAGCTGCGATTTCTATATCCTTGATTTGACGTTAGTTCTACTCTAGTCATCACGAGCAATGTTTCAAGTGGCCGCGTATTGCTTTGCATCTCTTGATCTGGTCACATTATTATAAGAATGCACATGGCGCCACATGTATCTACGCGATATAAGCTTTTCCAAGGGGAGTGACAGCAGATGTGTCAATTCTTGGTAGGCCAATCCCGCAGCGCTGGTATGAGTGGCAGGATCATATTGTACACAATGTCACATAAACTGAGCAAAGAGACATGAGTACAGGATAGTATGAATCTATATCGGACAGTAAGATGCAGGAGTAACTATACTATCATTACCGCCTTGCCATATAACCATGTTTCGCCATCACGCAACAAACCCTACCTCAGCTAGCTGGGAAGCCCGCACGGGCCATCTTCTTCCCTCGTTGGGCCTTCCGGTTGTGATTCGCACTCGAACTCTTGTTGGCCTCCTTCCTCTGTCGCGAAATCTGCGTGCCCTTGTCGTCTGCAGGACCAGCGACACTTGCGCCGCCTCGACCACCGCCCGGACCACCGCGCCCACGGCCCCTGCCTCGTCCCCTGCCTCCCCTTCCGCCACGCCCACCATCTCCACTACCCTCGTCGCCCGAACCTGCAGGACTATCCCGCCATGCTGTCGATTGCAATTCCCTCTGCTGACCCTGGAAGTTTGAAAACTTCGCCTCCAGTCGCCGTAGTTGTCTAGGATTACGACCCATCATAATCGCCCAGCCTTCAATCGCCTCATCCGTCATGCCTGTTTCGCTCTTCAGCGCCGTCCTTGCCTTGCCTCTTCTTATCTCTGATTCGCGACTGAGGAGCTCTGGTGTCATGGTGTAGGCGCGGAACAAGGCTTCCTCATTCTTATCGCCCAGGTCCGCATCCTCAGGCGCGGCGGTGTCGACAGATGCGCCAACGTCTTCTGCATCATATGTGTCATCGCGCTCGTCATCATCAGAGTCGAATGCAGCGAGAGCTGCCATAATGGCCGACTTCGCCGGCGCTTTGCTACGGTCGGACAAGATCTTGTCGGCGTTCAGGTCTTGACCGCGACGGCCGATATGCAGGCGGGAAGTATCGACCGCCAGCTTGTCAAACTCGTCGTCATCGAATACATTGCGGCGCTCGGGAAAGTGCTGACTCGATCTCGGTGGTGCAAGTGGTTGTGATGGTGTAGAGGGCGTTGGCCTGGAAAATGTAAGTATGGGCTTGTACCTAGATGAATGAACACGTACAGCTTCTCACTTCGGTCAGCATCGGCGAGGTACGGCGGTAGTGATTCTTCCAGCAGATGTGCAGTAACTTGCTCGATATCGTCGTGATACTCATCCAAACATTTTACAACGAACCCTGCACCAAGATCTGGGAACAGATCTTGAATCTGGCTAATCATGCTCATACGATGGACATGTACCTCGCCGGTGAACGCGCCATGTCCATAGCTTTCCTCTGCCTTCTCTTTACCCTTGTCTACCTTTCGCCGTATCAGCCTCTTGGGCCGAGCCACCCCAGATTGGCGGAATGCACTAAGCGATGCTGCAGTGTTCTTTACCCTTGTAGCCTCCGGAGCAGTAGCCTTGTCCCTGATCTTCTCTAACAACGGCGTATTTGTAACAAGATCAGCAACGAGTGTCTTCTTCCCTGGCTCCTTCTTCTGCTCTTGCTCTTCGCTAGACTTTAAGCTGTACAGATGGTCGGAAAGCAGTGAATAGTTTGGCTTCGGTCCGTCCAAGGCTGCTGTGAGTCCAAGATATGCTATTGTAACCAGTTTCTTCTGTATCGACAGCGATACCTGCGGATAGGCCGAACAGAGCGAGTCAAGGAAATCAGACCCGGTAAGCATAAAGATACTTGCATCCGACGAAGCTCTCAGAAGAGGTGCTACCCGGTTGAGAGTATTCTCAGCCTCTTCTGGTCGCTTCGACTCCAAGTTCCTGATCAATGACGTCTTTGCCGTTTGGATTGACTTCTCAATGGTTGCGCCCTTTTGCTTCCATAACCCTTGCAAGAGTGCACGGAACTGTTCACTCTTTGGAAAGACGTGACATATGTCTGAGAGAACAGACCAGCTCAGGATGGAATCCGAGATATTACCTCTCGAAAAGACCCTATGCAGCAGGAAAAAGCACTTCTTTCGCAGAGATGCTACTTTTGATGCTAGGTTGTCATCGCTGGCTAGCTCATGGAAGAATGGAATGAGAAATGGGGTAACCATATCCTTCTCTTGTATCGCCGAAACAAACTGATCATTCTCAAGTCGGAGATAAAGTTCTGCAAGTGATGTCCAAGAATCCAGGTACAGCTGCCATTCGTCAGGCAGTATGCTCTTTCTGACTTTTGCGTCTGGAAATGGCGCGAAGTGGGGTGGCGACATTGATTCGGTCGCTGCAAGGAAATGGAGGGAGTTGGAAGTTGAAAAAGCACAACTGCAATGCAATGATTTGGTCTAAAAGTTCCAGAACGGTCAATTTCGGGGGTCTGATTCTAGTCATGTAGTCATGATGGCTCATGGCCTGCCTGCCGAGCGATCAGAGGGAGCGATACTCAATCCGGCACTAGCGCCCGCAATCTTGGCGTTCATCGCCCACAGATGGAAAATTACATAGCGCGAACAACTTCAACGACTACGAACGCCGTCGCAAATTCAAGCCACCCAGTCATCACATTACCGCGATCAAGGATCCAGGTCGTGACTGGAATCTAACGCAGCACCTTCAACAACACAACACTCCACCAACCCGACAACATGTCTTACAACAAGCCCGAGAAGGACTTTGGCGAGGGTAAGGACACCCGTAAAGTGTGGTGAAGCATATACTAACGATACTACAGGTCCCAAGATCCACAAGATCCGCATCACCCTCACCTCGCGCAACGTCAAGTCCCTCGAGAAGGTCTGCCAGGAGCTCATCGATCGTGCCAAGACCAAGGAGCTCCGCGTCAAGGGCCCCGTCCGCCTGCCCACCAAGCACCTCAAGATCACCACCCGCAAGACCCCTTGCGGTGAGGGTTCCAAGACTTGGGACACATACGAGATGCGCATCCACAAGCGTAGGTGCTCTCAAACGAGGAATTGGAAATACAATGGCTAACGTTGAAATTAGGCCTCATCGACCTCCACGCTCCCACTGAGGTCGTCAAGCAGATCATCATCAACATCGAGGCCGGTGTCGAGGTTGAGGTTACCATCGCCGCATAAGGGCTTGGCTTAGACAAGGAAATGGAGAGTGTCAAGGGCTGACAGAAATGTGGCCGGGCATCTCTAGTAGTTGGCAATACGCTACGATGAATTAATACGAAATTCTCGATCTATGGAAATGCTTGTGTATTGAGTGTCATATGATGCAGATTTGCTAATTTTTGTCCTGTGGATGCATTTTCTAGGACGCTCGTATCTGAAAACTCAAGACCGTAGCCGAAGTACGGTTTGTGAAGTTCACAGTTTTATGATAACGGCTCTTTCCAAAGACCTGTATAGCTTTCCTACTGATCAATTTAGCCTGTGACCTCTTTCTTCGGCATTGCGTTACTCTCATATCGGTACTCAATATATGAACTTCTCAGCAGCTTTCTCTCAAGGCGCATGCTCCTCACCCACTTCCTTTCGATATAAGGCTTGTCTTGGAGGCCCCTGGGCAAAGAGATCGACTTGAACGCCGGCTTTGCTGAAAAGAAGGGTAATATGGTGCGCATGAAATTTACGGTTCTATCCTCTGTCGCTGTGTAAACAGCGCTTAAAAGCCGGTGTGGAATGTCGTCGTGAGGATACGTCTATTCGCTTTTTATAGAATCTTGTCCGTGTAACAAAAAGCAGGGTACGTTATCACAATCATGCTCTTTATATCATCATCTATGACCATATCCATCTTCCAGGCCGGAATCGCGGATCATGACCACGGAGAACGCCCGGGCGTTACTATAGCTTATTGATGCTGTTATTTTATTATTGGAAGATGTTCAATTGGGCCACTCACGCAGTTTCTTATCGTGGGATTCGAGAGCTGAGCGATAAGTGAGTTTCAAAGTCAGAGGCAAAGGCAGACTCCTAGCACTTGCGCTCTGGAATGACACAAAAAGCGAAGGAACAATTATACTTAACCCGACTAAATTTCCAGGCATGCTCAATTCGATCAAACAGGGCCATATCTTAACAGAAACTAGCAAGAACTAGAAGTTTTTCCCTTTTATGCCTACCTTTTCTGAGCCTAGCTATGTGGTAAACGGCCCAGTCTTCACCCATATCACTATTCTTTCCTATTCATGGCACACATCATATCCCACCAATTCACCAATCCTCCAACCTCCACTTCGCCCCGACATTAATGCACTCATCCCCATTCGTGACATCATCTTCCTCTCCATCAACTACACTCCAATCATTAGCTTGCAATCACAGGACCTCCATTCAAATAAACTCACCCTTGAAAAACCAGAATGCAACCGGTAGCTCTCCATGCGCTACGTTCCCAAGAATACCTCGTTCCCTGGTCAAATCCCGCAACTTCTCAACAAACTCGCGTTTGCTCATATTGAGATTCATGCGGTTGATCTCCTTATCTTGGCGATGCGGCATGAAGATGCCCACGAGACAGACGTATAAATGCGTGGAATGCGGGATGGGGAGCTTTAGGAGGACGCGGGGTTGGATGGGGATGGCCACGAGCTGGCTCTCTGTCGTGTGATTTGGAACAGGATATCGAGCATAGTAGTTCTCATCAGCAACGAATTCCATACATCTTCGGAGTATGTGATAGGGAGGTCGTGTTTGCCCGTGAGGGCTGGGAACATGGACATTGATAGGAGGTTATTACTGTGGTATGAGTGCTTGACTATGGGAATTTGGATTGAGGTGGTGCCTAGAAATATAAAATCCACTCACTTAAGTATAGCAAGTGATATTTATTCATGGCGCAAATTGTGTTAGACTTGCACAGTTGATATCAAGCGAGTGTATACAACCTTTCATATCTATAAACATAGGCCCACGGTATCGCACATTATCCAACCATAAGCATACCAGATCTGACATATCATTCGCTATAGCTTCCTCATTTCACCAGCGTCGACGCGACTTAAATGATTCACAGCTTCGAATGGCCCATCTTCCCACCCGTTCTTCTCAGTATCTTCGTGATCTATAGTTACGTTAGCTGCACGTACGATGTGAAAATGCGCAATAGATAAAATAATTACATGTAGAGAACCAGAAGATGACCCTCTAAGTCTCTTTTACGAGCGAGCCCGTAAGTCCCCCGTTCCTGGCTGGCTGGAAAATCATTTCCCTGACGCTTACATGAGCTATGTCGATCATCGCGGGCGTCTTATTCGAACCCTACGGGGACTTATAAATCGCCATAAGGACTACATCGACTCCTTTGGTGCCCCCCTCTCTTTTGAGAATAATAGATGGCCTCTTGTTGGCCTCCTTGTTGCATTGCTCTATGCTACGACCTCTGGGGAACTTTCTATCGTAGAGATCATCGAGCAGCTTTACAGACTTTTCAGTGTCTCGTGGGTGGGTAACAACCTTTCCTCTATCGGTGGTAGTCTTAAACAAGTTCCAAGAGTAACCAAGTTCGGGGACTGAAAATAGAGACGAAGTAGTCAGTGTAGTACTAGATTAATTGTAGTCATATGTACCAGACTAAGCCATAAACTTACATTTTTCAAACCACAGAGCTGCCTTTTCAAACTAGATTGCTTTCCTGGTACCGTCTTTCTCTGCTAATTCTGATAGGTGCCTGGAGAGAGAGTCGTTGAACACATTCACCAAGTCCCCGTTGTTTCCAGCAGATATATTGATACCCACGAGAGCTATATCATGATCATGGTATTTAAGAACGGGTTGTGGCGTTTCTGGAACGTGCTTGCTCCACTCATTAATCCTCTCCGAGTACTCTTCCATAAATTGCAAGCATGCTTGGCTGTTGTTGGGGTCCGACATTTTCCAAATTGATTTAAATATCGTATTCGCAAGCTAAACTTTGATATAGAAATGCAGTATACAGTGCACATACAGATCCCAACACTCTCTTTATACTCTTTGTCTGATTCCAACAACGGCTTTGTAAGAATATGGCATGAAAAGTGTCATAATCTTTAGTGACTGTGCAGAGGTAGGTCCAGCGTGTGAACGGTCTGTAGGTACTGTATTCCAGCTACCTAATCCAGATGCTATTTACAGTCGAGATGAAGAGAAGGAGATGAAGTGGGCGGCCATCCCGCTTTGTTTGGGTTGGCGCACGGCGCACGGCGCACGGGCTGCTGGGGGAAGGAGTGATAGAAGGAAGGAAGCGACTAGGCCAGCGGCCTAGTCATGTGGCCTAGGGCTCAGCCCGTTACACAGCGTGTGCTCCAAACTGAAACCTACAAGACTCATCAGCCGCATCTAATCGACAGTGATGGTTGACCTGTGCACAGATTACTCACATGAAGAGCGCGTAGACTTGAGCCCACGAATTGGAAATCACGAATACACGCAGACCGAGTAAATCGGTACTCAAATCTTACAAAACCTCGCGGAAAAAGAATGCCACAACACCCAACATCTCCTATGCACGGTCCAATCAGCCGATACAGGTAAGGAAAGTGAAGTTTCGAAATGAAATCAGACGAAAACGATGAAGAGCATCGACATCGGATGTCTGCACTCTACACAATCACATCTTTTTTCAAAACGCCGGCACATCACTAATACATCTCTTCCTTCTACGTTCCGAAGGCATCGCAAACTTCCCTATTTCATTCCAAATTGATATCCTTTCACAATCATCTCATATACTGAAAACCTTCACCTACTTTCTACCCTCCATCGTCTACCTAACCAGTAAACATCCCTACCTTTCTCCTCCCAGTAGTCGTCAAAAAAAGCTATATCCTTGTTGGAAGGTTGAGGTGTTGGAAGATGGACGATAAACATGAAGTACTTCATTGTTTATATACGACACCTACACATTGTCAAATGCCCAAAAACTGACAACAACCGCGATGTACTTCACATTACTCTACCCTATCCCTCTCCTAGTATCCTACCTATGCTTGCCACACCTCAAACCACTCCCGCCTCCTCATCACTTTATCAAAACACCACCCAGGCGCCTACAAACCCCTCGATATCACACAACAAACACAAACATAGACATTGAAGACTTTTTATTCGGCTATGAACCTAGCTATTTGTTCACTATCTCTCATATGTATCCGCCCAAACCTATGAACTAATATACATGCAGACCATTAAGAGAACCCCGAGTGCCTCCCCCCTAAATATGGCCATTAGTCATGGGTGGCGACGGCGGCGGTGTAGGCGGCGAAGGCGTGGGAACAGGTGTATTAGGTGGTGCAGGCGGCACCGGTCCAATAGAGATTGCGATCACGTTGTCGTCTTCATCCAGACGCAGCAGATAGTACTCCCAAGGCGTCGGCTTCATATCCTTACTAGCCTCCTTGGCACTCTCCTCGATGGTGGGCGACATGTTGGGCTTTTACAACGACGTGTGCGTTGTGTTCTTGCGGTACGAGAATTGACGGAGCAGGCGCGAGCCCTTGTGCCACCACGTCTTCAGGCGGTCAATGATGCGTTGTTTGCGGTAGTCGACGGCTCGCATGCCCTCGGCCTCGTGGAAGGTGTGTCGATTTGTAGCGGCGGTTGCTGAGCTAAAGGCTTGGGCTTCACCGGCAGAATCTTGCACAATTGATGTCGTGGACTCTGGTGATGCAAGGTCTGATGGATTGGTCTTGCTTCGGCCGGTAGCTCGCGACGTTGAATGCTGTTCAAGCGTAGCTTTGCGGGTAGATGAAAAGCGCTTGCGGAGCGAAAGACGTGTTTTGCGTGTTGTATCGTAGTTTTCCTCGTCGTCAGACGTGTCAGAGGCGGAGAGGTGGTCTCTGAAGATGGCTGTGGGTGGTGACAGGGCAGATGTAGGGTAACGCTCTCCTACCGCGTGCGGCTGGTCACTGCCACGGCCAAAGGTACTGAAGCGGTGTTGGCGAGCATGTGCGGTGCTGTCAGCTGGTGTGCCGAACGGTGATGCCGTGGCTGTTTGTGTAGTTGAGAAGGAGCTCTCGGTCAACGTCTCAGAGAGCCGGTTGCGTAAATGGGAAGGACCGCGACGAGATGAGTGCCTCGTGGCAGTAGGAGGTGGAAGAGAAATGTCAATGGCAGGATTTGTAGATGTAGCCCAGGGGTAGTTCTTGTCAATGTTCCACGGGCGGGTCTCTGTTGCTGTGGGCGTAGAGACAAATGACCGCAATGACCTCCTCGAGGAAAGAGCAGACTCACCCGAGATACGAAATTCTTCAGGGCCGACTGTATGAGAGCGTGGACGTATAACAGCTGGCGACGGCGCTTGCAGCTCTGTCAGCGGCACCGTCTGACGTGCTGTTGTTGTGTTGGTCAAGTCGTCGCTCTTGTCCATATTTGAGGCCGCTACGCTAGCGCCATTCTCAACACCATCACCGGGACCGCCTTGTTTGCCCTTTCCCTTCTCATTCTCCTTATTCGTGAGCTCCTCATAGAGATCATCATCGATGATGACCATGTGAGAATTCCCTCGCATGGGACGCAAACGAGCAGATGAGCGCTTCTGCGTCGGGTGGATATCGTGAATCTCCTCCAACGCGTGCTTCTCAATCTCTTCCTCAACCGGAAACTCGGCTGGCTCACCCGACTTGTAGTACTCCTTCAACGAAGGGAAAAACTCGGAGAAGCGCTGTGTGAGACCCCCCACTGAAGGTATAGTCAAGCGCTCAATCTCCGCCATGAGCTCCGGTGAATGCGCACGGTGCATCGCAAACAAATTCATAATGGTCGTGGGCTGCATCGACAACCTCGAGCGCTCAGCAGCATCCAACTCCGCAAGAGATACGCGCATACCTGTCACATCGCCGGCCGATGCAGGCCGTGTCGGACTACCCCTGCTCAGCCTCTGCACCATCTGCGACACATTGGGCACCTCTTCCATCGACCGAGAGTAGCGCAGGCCGAGCTCATCGGTAAACCCATCAAACAGGTTCATTCGGCTAAAGCGCATCGAAGGCAAGCCATGTGCCTGCCCGAGGGCGCTACCTACATTGCTGCCCATCGCACTACGCCGCTGTGACGCCATCGATGACCGCCTCGAGAAGTTGGCTTGATCCTCTCCCGAAGCCCGAATACCCGAGGGGTTACCGAACGGAAAGCGGAAGCTGGAGCTCTTCAAGTTGCTGGCACTGGTATTCAGGCTCGAGTCCTCGTGTGACTCCTCCTTCAGATCAGGCAGATAGCGCGACGGACCAGGATACCTATACCCGGACAGTCTAAGGTCGGTCGTCGTATCCTCTTGTATATTCGTTAACGGAGACAAGGCCAGCGAGTTAAGATGACTCCCAATGCCACCTGGTGGGCGTAGCTGCATATGCTGGGAGCAGCCACCTGTCGGCGGGGGTACATAGCGATGCCACTCGAGATGTGTCGTTGTCTGACTGTCGCGTCGATTGGTCTCTGAAGTCGCTGGGCCATCATCTGTGGAAGATCCTTCCTGCGAACGAGAAGGGAGGTCCTGTATCGAATACACAGATGATGGCTCTGGTACCACAGGTGATGCGTTGCTGCACGAGTTCTCATATATTACAGGGGCCGGACTACTGCCTCGGGCTTTGTATGATTTACAAACATCAGGGGTATCGAAGGTGATGGCTCGCATCTTTGCAGGAGGGACACCAGTTGGCATGGTCGGTGTCGTCTGCGCAGTCTTTACCGCCTCTACAGGGGTCGACGGCTGCAATATGCGATTGGTGGCCGGAGTGCCATCGGTATCTTGAGCCGACTCGTACGCAGGCTGATCCATCTCTCCTGACTTCAGCATATCATCTTGATCTGGGCGCTTTCGACCTATAGCAAACCGAGATGGTAGCGGACGCATCAAGAAAGAGACGGCGGCATGGACGCGTTGAGCTTCTTTGGAAGTGCTAGATTCTCGCGGGGGAACTACCGGAGGAACTTGTGGAAGTCCCAAGGTAGACGATGAGCCCGACATTGATACTGAGCCCTGCTTGACACTTGGTTTTGAGGCCGTGCGAAGCTTGCTTGTCACGATAGAGAAGCTTGATTCTCGACTTGGCACCGGAAGTTGTTTGCGAAGCATTGCAGCAGGCGGTTTGGGTAAAGACATCTCGAACTTGGGCCTACTCTGCTTCATGACCATGGTCCCAAGGTTGGATGATGACAGCAGAGATGGCGGCATCGAAGCAGCGCTCTCGGAGCTGACATCCACCTTACCCACTGCGAGATGGTGGACATTTGATCCCTTCTGAGACGGCTGTCGGTCGAGCAAGACGTCGGTAGCTGACCTGAACGATTTTCCATCTGGGTCTTGTTCAGTCTCGGGCGATACTAGCACTGAAGACTCATCCGGTTTATCTGTGCAAGACTTGAACGACTGCTCGTCCGACGACCTCTGAGTCTGGCTGTTCCGAGAACCTGTAACGAGTGGCGACGGCTTCAGATCCTCGTCTGTCGGAGTTTCCATGTTATCGGTCAAAAGTTTCGCTTTCTCCTTCGTCGTCTCATCTCGTGGCAAACCCTCAGTCTCGGCCTTTGAATCAGGTCTCTGATACCCTGCCAGAACATCCGACATTCCATCCTCAGTACTGTGTCCAGGACTAGCAGGTATGCTCAGCTCCTTGTCAGTTCCAGGCGCTATCTCGTTCGCAAATCCACCGCCTGTAGCAACTGGTATCGAATGTCGGACCGCGAAGTTGATGGTCGATGAGTCTAGAATGCTCGATCCAGTTTGTGAGAGAATACTGTTACGATAGTTCTGCTCCTTATCTTGGTGCGATGGTGTTCCGACGCACTCGCTGATTGCATATTGCATCTTGATAGGAAGCTCATCGGATTTACTGGTTCTCAAAGTGTTTAGAGATTTGGTCGTGGATGACTGGATATCTTCCATCGACGAAACCTTTAGACCTTGAAGGATCAAATTCCTCGTAATACGCCTCACGACGGGTGATGCGGGGAGCTCCGCGATCTCGGGGACGATGTCTGCGACGCTCTCGGGGTTCGCCGTCTTGATTTCCTCTGTCGAAATCGGTACAGTTGGGATGTCTGTCATCTTTGGAGACACGACCACCATTGGCATTGGTCGTGCCTGTTGGCCTAAAAAAGGATCACTATTCAATGCCGCCTCCGCAAAGCCTGTGGGTATAGTGTCGGATTCCGGCTCTGCCATTTCGTTGGTATGGAATTGCTCGCTTCCATCGTAGTATGGAACAGGGGTCCTCTCCGTGGTGTTCGCAAACCTGTTCGGACCCAAGTCGCTCGGCCTGATCAGGTGTGTGCCGTTGGGGTTGCGAAGCGCTTCCATAGAGGCGCCGTCTCTAGGGGTCGGGGGTAGAGCCATGTCGGAAGATGGAGCCTCTGAATCGGTGCGTATCATTGTGGAGCCACTTGATACAGAGCCCTGCACAGATGTTTGGAGACGTGCCTTCTCGACAGCGATGCGGTTTCTGTGGTTCGTTGGTAGAGGTGGGGTATCCGACTGAAGCTGTCTACGCGTCTGCCGAGGAGGAAGGCTTATGCTACTATGCAACTTCCCCATCTGATGGTCAGAGAAAGGAGGCATGCTATCCTCTTCCTCGCGCCGATCTTCGAGACTCAACGCAGACGGGTGAGATGAAAGCCTCATTCTCATCTGACCCACGTTGTGCGGGTTACCACCGGGACCAAGATACTGCTGGGCCTGCATACCATACTGTTGTCCGTTGCTGTAGTATGCAGATGGAGGTGCCCAGCTAGGAGTGGCTTGTCCTCGGCCACCATGCGGCGGCCTCTGGTCATCGTAGGAATACAAGTCTCGTGGGTGTAGCCCGGCATTGTCGCTCAATGCTGGTGAAGCAGACCTGTAGTTCGGAGTATACGATCTAAATACACCACCATGAAGATTCGGGTGGTATGGACTAGGGGGTTGTAGCGCTTGAGGGCGTAGGCTCGCAAGAGACCTGTTGCTGGCGAGGTTGTAAGGTGGCTGTACCTGATCTGTCATGGACCGCGAGCGATGCGATTCTTGGTTGCGGTTGTCTGTGCGATTCGACGGCGACGATCCTGCCATGCTCATGGCCATCGGCGAGAGCATGTCGGTGACGTATTGCGGTGTGTTGAGTCCTGCCGAGTGTCGCGGTGCAGATGAGGACGACGGTTGTGCACGGTATTGCTTGCTGGCTCGACTCGAGTGACCAGACATGGAAGATGCTGCCGACATCCTGCTGGCTGCACGGTGCCTTTGCAGGTGGCGGTTCGAGTTGGCAATGCCGAGCGGATCGTTCAAGAGACCGACGTCGCCCATGTCCATGGTGGTACGGAGCATTGACGAGATACCGTTAGGGAAGACAGGATGGTCAGAGCCAGATGCTCCATTTAGAGGTTTTCCTGATGCACGGCTTAGAGCTGACGCATTGGAGGCTCTGGACGTGCGACCGCCGCCGTTGGGGTCTTGCTCAGCAAGCGCCATGCTGCCACCGACAGGAGACATGCTGAAAGGAAGCAAGCAAAAGCAACACGCTGTGAGCGGTGCTGATGCAATGGAGGTTGTACTGTCTGAAGTGTTGTAGAAAGATGTAAAGCTTATGGTATGACCGACAGGAAGAGGATATTGCACGAGGCGGCAGCTATCCAAGAGCGGGACGAAAGCGAGTGACCTCTACACCGTCCTCGATAGCATCTCTGCCAAGGGTAGAGTGCTGTTGAGAATATTGGTGCTCTGTTGTGGGTGAGGTTAAGGAGACGGAGGAGTTGGGTGGAGGCGTTGTTTTGACGGCGAGCCTGGCACCTACTCCACGTCCAGCACGGCAGAGATTGCCCCAACCCCGACACTCTAGAGGAAGGAATAGACACGAAAGTCGAGAATGATGCAGAGACGATGCAGAGAGAATGCAAAAAAAGCCAGTAGCATACGTGCTATCGAGCTTGGCTCCTACCTCTACTGTGTGTCCTGCCCTCCCAGGCCTCTTGCAGCGGAAGGACTGATCAAGACACCACAACGACAACTAGCAGCCTCTCGGGCCTCCTCTTACCTCCAGCACACAGCACAAGAAAAACTCACAACCTCCTGAAGCTCGACAACACCGGACTCTGTTCCGAGCATTCTCCCAGCCCATCGGACTCCCGCAGCTACCCCCTTTGTGCGCAACGGCACCGTCCTTCAAAACGTCCTCCCCGTACGAAGCGAAACCCATTACACGTTGCTCGTCACGGCATCAATATTATAAAAACGCGGATATTTACATATAGAAGCAACACCAACCGCTAAACACCCGAACACGGCAGAGGCTATGGCGCCTGAAATACGCAAAAAGTACACGGTCAAAGGGGTATATAGCTTTGCAGCGCCAAACAGCGAGATCAAAGAACTACACAAGAAAAGAAGATCAAATGGAGATACAAGTCACTCGGCGATGGCATCTATATCACCAGTCCTCTTCTTGCTGAACAGGCGTTTGAGCGACGAGAAGCTACTTCGTTTTGAGAGCCTCTTGGGTGAGGAATCCGAGAAGTTGGACATGGACGTTGCTGGTCGGCTTGGTATATCTGGTTTAAAGAATTGGTCAGGCTGATCGAATGCAGGTGATGCTGCGCCTAGACGGCTGGACATGGAGCCTTTCGGCGTGCTCAGGTTCCTAGTAGGGAACAGGCCAAACTGCGCTGTTTGCCGCGACGACATGGAAGATGCTGAGCGTGTCGACGCCATAGCGGGGGACATGGCCGATGCACCGGACACAGAAGAGTAGGCTGAGTCTTTTCCTGTCCATGGCGGACTATATTCTCCATTGTCTGGTCCTGCAGACTGGCGTTTTATTGCCGGCGGTTTCTCTTCTACAGGTGCATCAGATGACAATGACACATGCCCCCGATTTCCGAAGAGCCGACTTGTACGACTAGCCTCTGCCTGTGGTGTTGCTCTTCCACGTTGCTCCTCGTTGTGCCAGGTATCAGGGTAGTACTCGGGCTGGCTTGTCTGACGTTGCACATTTGCGTCAGTCTGCGAGCCAGCGGATATTGAAGCTGAATCTTCGCTTCGTTTTGGCGTCTCGGTAGTGGAATCGGACGCATTGACGATTGCTGGCTGCGGGTGGATTTTAGGCGTTGTACTGGAATGTCGCCCGGGGGTTCCGGAGCTCGCAGGCGTCTCACGGCCTGACGATGAAGGGCTCATAAACGGCGGACGCTCTGGCGGAGGTGTAGGAAGAGGCTTGTTATTTGCAAAATTACGAAAAGGTCGACTTTCTCTCGAATTGGATGAATTACGGGACGAAGTACGCGTTGCGATCTGGCCATGTTAGCCGGTTAAGTATGGAAAGCGATCATGAGACGCCAAAAAAAAGGGTGTGTTACCAAACTTCGTCGGCTGGCAGCGCCACAGCGTTTCTCAATTTCATTGCAGTAGCTGCTCACTTGCACAAGCACAACGCCCAATCTCTCTGCTTTGGCCACCAAACTTAGCAAAAACTGCGACCAGCCCCCAGTATTGCCGCACATGGCAGAGTATATCCGTCCAATATCCTCATTGCGATATGTCCACGCGTCGCCTACGTCGAGCAGGTACATGTCGAGGTCCTGGTTCGCTTCCCGAAATACATTAATGTCGACAAGGTAATCGTTGAGCAATGCAGACATGCGCCCGATTGTGCGTTCGATAACAATATTGCCGTCAAGCAGCTGTGCGCGATATGAGCGGTCTTCCAGAAGGCGATCAAACTCGTTTACGTGCTCCATGGGCACCTTGAGGCATTTGTGTCGGAACATCATGTCCTTCATGCTGCTCTCCAAGTCCTCGTTGGCGCGCTGCAGGAAGCTATCAAGCTCGTTGACATGCTTGAGCAAAATGTCTGCTACATCGGCAACCGACTTCTCCAGATGCTGGTGCAGCAAATGAACGCCAAAGATGATTTGCGCAACGGTTTTTTTGAGGGGGTGAAAGTTGCCCTTTGGGTTGTTTCTCCAGTGGCAGTTGTAGGTAAAGTTCCACGAGTCTTCTGTGGCATCCTCTTCTCGACATAACAACTGCTGGCGCGTCTTGATGCCCTTTTTTGGATTTACAAAAGGCACATGGCCGGTTTCGCCCGTGGCATCCAGCATGGACTCTTCGAAGGGGGCTTGCATGGCGGCAATGGGGTGGATGGGGAAGGTGGCTGTCATGATGCGTTTGTCGCGTTCGTCTTGCCATTCGTAAGAGTCGCGATTTTCGGAGCTGCGACGGCAGCTTCGCTGGGATAGGCGTCGAAAGGGAACCATGGCTATGTATGGACGGGGGAGGGCAGTCTGTAAGCCCCGAAGGCGGAAAAAGGTACAATCAAGTCGGGGTCGGGTGGCACCAAAGCCAATGCAAGCCCAGGCACTCAGGTCAAGGTTCCAGGCTGCAGACTGCACACGCACATAAGCACGAAACACTTGTTTGGAGATGCTTGGCCCGCTTGTGTTGTCGACGGACCGTCTAGAGAAACACGTTGGGGGTCCGCATTGTGTGGAGAAGTTTAACGCCTGCAGGGGATGGGGTCTTGAGTGTGTGCGGGAGATGGCGGAAGAAAGATTGGACACGGTCCCAAGGTTCAGGGACGCCTTTGGCTCGTCATCACTGATCAGGTCACCGGCCACAGATCACTCCTGGGACCTGACACAAGAAACGGGGGGACGGGGTTTTTCTGGTCGCCAGGAGGTCTGCAGGTAGTGCAGGAGGCTTGTCTTGATGAAGGATGGGGCGTACCGCTAGTGCCCGAGACTGTTGGTGTGTAGGCCAGGGCGGGGAAGCCCTTGTGCATCCACGCCGAGCCATGGCGATGAAGTGGACGAATAGACGAATAGACGAATAAACAAAATAGATTTTAGAAGAGCTTGTTGTTTTGTAACAGTTCATGTCTTGTTTAGCCAGCTGGACGACTTTACTTGGCCGAGCTGGTTCGCAGATGGACATGGACGATATGCACAGCTGAAGTTTATACCCAAGTACTTGTCCGCACCTGAGGTTTGCAGCCCTGCAGACAACTGAGCATGCAGCGTGCAGATGTCCCGCCCAAGTCACCACTCAGGCAATCCATTCACCCCTCGGCGCTACTGTAGAAGACGCAATGCAGTTGCCAGCACCAGGCCAGGAACAGGAAGACGCACCACCCATAAGCTGCTCGCTGCCGCCTCTTGCTGGGGCACAATGCAGCCATGCCACCCCTCGACTACCGAGGCTGAAAAATCAAAATCAAAATCACGCCCCCCTCCCCCATCCACAATGATGCTCTTGCTCTAGTCGCTGAAACGGCGCATCCGCTTACAGACGTCATCAATGACTTCAAGCGCAGCGACTTGGACAAGCGCGACGGTGCCTGGGCCAGCGCGACGGGCCATGTCCACTCCGGCCTGCAAATGCACGCCTACGAGCTGCTGGTGATGCCTGCCACCCAACGGCGACGTATATCCCGCCACGGTGCAAGCAACGCCGAAACCCCAGCACGCAGCCAATGGCACAATCTCCGATGGCCATCTCGAGACCGACCATGTGCACAGGAAGCACGAGGACAACGGCCAGACCAATGTCAATCACTCCCCAATTGCATTAGGGACTTGGTAACCCAGCTCCGCGACGAATACAGCATAAGTAAGTACATATAGCAAGACGCGTCAGAAAGCGTAAACCAAGTGCAAGGCCTACTGCACAGCTTCAAGCAGCAATGCCACGGCCAGAACAAGCACGAGCGGGACGATGAAACACTCTTATGTCCGCGAAATACGAGGACCCTTCCGCGACTCGGTAGTGAGCAATACGACGGCCTTCCCTTCACCGAACGACGACCGCGACCGTGACCGCGACCACCAGACTACTCCGATCGCCGACATGATGCACCGCCAGATGACACTAATCTCCCACGAGATGACATTATTTGAAATTGTAGAAAGGCCGACGCTGACGCTGACGGTCATCGGCAGACTTCCAAGACCGCCAACGGCTCCAACGCGAGACCTTTCGCAATCGCATACAAGCATACTTGAATCAAGCACGAAGACACAGACGCTGAGTCAGATATTGGGCAACGTCTGGACTAGGGGCAGGCCTACCCAGACGATCAAGTAGGATACGCGAGCGGCCCTCGCGTATCCATCCTCTTCTACTTATGACGTTGCCTGCGTATTTGCTACTTATATGCAACGGCAGGGGCAAGAGAAACGGAGTCATGGCAGCCGACCATAGCGGCTTCCAAGACGTCTATTCGGTCAAAGTGGGACCTGCCCAAGGGCAGAGAAAGGGGTGCTAAGTGATTGCAATACCACCGTTTGCTCTACCATCCCCGCCATCTAACCCACGCATCAACAACCGTCTCCCCGTCCGTGTCTGAATCGACCACAAGATACCAACCGAACCCAGCCCCTGCCACGCAAGCATGGTTCGGCCAAACCATCACCCTGTCACCAACACTCAGCTCATTACACTCGCTCCTTTCACCCTCCCACGTCAAGATGCCGTGCTCCTGGCTAATACGTCCGACAATCCACCCCGTCTTGCCCTCGCGCTCGTCATAAATATGCTTTGCGGATGAATTGCTCAAGTCACCCGTGACAATCCCCCACCCCGGGTAAGACTTGCAGGGCTCGCGGCCCATCGCTAGAGAGCCGGCCGAGACAAGAGCTTCAGGCTTGCCCCGCTCGCTGTACACGCTAGTCACTTCGACCAGCATCCTGACACTAATGTTAGATTTGGACAGGGGCTGAAACGCCGATGTCGCTTCGCCAGATATCGTAGCCGGTCGTGCATGTGTGGCAACTTGCTGGCAGTCCAACAACGGATACACGCCGGCGTGCAACTCCACGGCATGACTCTTCTGCAGCCGAGTGAGTACTTGTTGAAAGTCGTGGACTCGCGGTGAGGAACTGGCAAGCATGTTTTGTGCTGCTGTAGCAGTCGGTGTCGCACCAACACTAAGTACCAGCTTTCCGGTGAACTCTTCTGGTACAGCTTTCACCGCTGCTTCCAGTCCGACTAGTTCTTCAATCAAGCCCATCGCCGCATCGCCGCATCGTCCTCGGACGACCCCCCGTACGAGTGTCCGAAATGGCTATAGAAACCTTTCAGGAAGCACTTTGACCCAGGCTCTTGCGTCTTGGCCACTATGCTCTGGACTAGACCTGGGAAAGCAGGAGACGACGTCTTGATCCCAGCACGCTCATACCCCGTGTCGATCTTGATAAAAATACCCAACTGCACAGCTTCTGGGGCAGATCTTAGACGTTCACAGAGCTTTGTGAACGCGTCAAGGTTGTCGATCAAGACGTGTATTGAGCCTGGTGCAAGTTCTGTAGCTAGGCTGATAAGGCGCGGGATACTAGATTGAGCAACAGGAACGCCGTAGAGAATCTGTGTGGATATCAGCACTGCAAACTTGGGTGACCATAGGTAGACCATAGGAGAAAGAGTCATATAACTCGAAAATTAAACATAAAAGGAATAAATGAGAATCTTATACATACACTTCCATCCCACCTCTTTCCCTGAACATCCCTCACATACCCCACCAATTGCTCTGCTTCCAACACCGTACTAACAATAAAATTCGCCTTCTTCTCACCCTTTCCTTGTCCTTCTCCCTCCCAATCCCCAACTTGCATTCTACTCAACTCAATCGTCTTATGGCTCTTGACATGCGCCCTAAACTCCACTCCAAGGGCCGAGCAGATGCCCAGCATAGCAGCGCAGTTTCGCCGTATCAGAGCGCGGTCGAGCACGATGGCTGGGGTGGGTAGGGTGCTGAGTTTCTTGCCGATAAAGTGGGATGTTAGGAGGGAGGTGGGCGTGAGGGGATAGAGGGGTGTAGTTGGGGATGCCATGTTGTGGTGTTGATGTTCGTGTTTGGTTTGATGGTGATGAGATTGGTGCGGATTGTGCCAATGTTCTTTGGGAACGTATATGTATAGAGGAATTTGTGGACTTGCGTAATTAGGTTTGTGACTCAGATGTCAAGTCCCTGGATTGAAATTTTGATTGAGTTGATAGTGTCTTGTTCGGCCGTGAACATGGGTTCGTTCGCCCGTCGGAGAAAGAATGTGCGAGGCGGCCGCGCAGCTTCTGTTGCAAGAAAGTTTGTTCTAGGCCGCGGATGTTGCATAGAGCGGCCGACGTGAATTATCTGGGGGTAATAACCACGGATAACCATAAGATGATATTTTGAATTGTCAGGTGCGTAGAAAGCTGGGGGTAATAGTTGATGTTGCTGGTGGGGGTTACCCTGGAATTAGTGCGGGGGTCATTCCCTTGCATGAAGCGGCTTTCAACTCCACCAAAACATGGTGATTCGGGGTAAAACTTTTGCTTTTATTCGTAGCCTCCATAATAATACGGTACACTAAACGTCCCCATACAGATCTACTGCTCCCCATCAACACAGCATCTCACCCATCCTGGCACGTCCCCGCCCTACTACAGGTCTTCATCCTATGAGCTCGGTCCGGGCCATACACTACTCAACCTCCTCCTCCGTCCCGTCATCGCACTTCCAGGACTAACGCTTCTCGTTCCCGGTGCAGCCGTTGCAGCAAAACTATTCTCCAGTATAGCGTCCTCGAGATCGTCCTCCTCCTCAATCTGCGTGACCACGTCTGCGGGCGGCTCTTCTTCAAATACGGCTTGCAGGTCTGCATGTGGACTAAGTTGTTTCCAACTCCTCCAAAAGCCTATATCTTGAAGCCAAGTAGTGCGCTTCGAAGGCCCAGGGCCGCTGACACTGAGCTGTCGGCGAGGCTTCCAAAGATAGCGCCGCTCGTAGTGCGTAATGCCAAGCAGAATGGGAAAGTTCAGGGCGCGGACGGCTGTGACGTTGATCTTGTGGAACCATCGTGGTGAGAGGAGGAACTTGAGTGGCAGTAAGATAACGAAAGCGAGTAGGTTAAATGGCGGTCGATAGGCGAATAGCGAGTCGGACTTTACACCTTCAAAGGTAAGAACGGCGCGTCGGAACTGAATCTCGGCGGTGGCATCTGCTGCAATCTTGGAAAATGTATTAGATAGGATCGATACCAAGACAGTCAAGAACAAGGTATTGCCCAGGAAAGCGTAGATGACCATTAGCGTGGGACCAAGAACCTCGTGGAACCCAGGCGCTTCATCAATACCTGTGCCGTCGAGTCCGAACCAAATCCAAAGCATCCATTTGGAGATGGTAATCGTGTTTGGCGAATCTTCGTATCCGACTTCAGGGTTGCTGATGCTTAGCCATTTAAGCGCCAAGAGGAAGCCGCCAAAACACCAAACGGCAATCAAACTGAGTGCTGTAAACTCCTTGACCATGGCTCGAAGTGCGATGAAAAGCATGTTTTCCGGCATCAGATTGAAGGCGATGCGCGGAAAAAGGATCGGCGACGCAACAGCTAGGACGTCGAGTGCTTGTCTGCCAATCTCGTCTTGGCCTGTCATCCAGCCACGGGTACGCATACCAAGATAGATAAGAAAGATGCCGGCGAACGTGACGTCTAAGAAAGCCCAAAGTTCCTGTGTGTGGACTTCCCAGCCATGCTCTAGGCAAGATGCTAGTTCGTCTAACACCCATCCACTTCCATAAAGCAGGAACGCTATCTCTGGGCGAGTCAAATAGTGGTCTCTTCGCACAGTCATGCACCAACTATACAGCGCGAGCAGTATAATGAACTGGACGACTTCAATTATGTTGCGTGTTCTCGGTACCATAAGCCGGTATTGGTTGAGTGTTGGAGCCTTGCGCGGATCGTACAATGATATGGGCTTTTGTTTGTAGTGATCCGGAATGATATCCATATACACCGTTGGAGTGTATACTATGCGTCCTCGGTAGATGGCGTCGATGACTTTTTGGCTAGCAGATCCAGCAAGTAAGACTTTGCTTTCAGACACAATGGCAACTTCCAACGCAGTGAGTTTACCCTCGTTATCGCCCTGGGCTTGGTACTCGGAGCTGTGCCGCGGTGGACAGCGGTCATCGGGTGCGCCTTGGAAGGGTTGGAAAGGTGCTACCAAAATCTGTGCTAGCAGTAGTAGACCGGCTTTACCAGTGGATTCCTCATCATGTCTTCGCAAAATTTTCATAGCCACAAGCTCGCAGAGATTGGCACGTGTGAGGTCAACAGTCTGGTGATGTTGCTGGAATTGCTGCTCACGAAGGAACTGCATGCGGTTGACAAGCAAGCAATAAACGATCGATATATCCTCGTCGTCATAGAGGCGGTCGACGAGTGGTTTTACAATGAGGACGTTCATACGAGGTTCTCGCAATTGGTCTACCGTGTATGGATCTTCAATCACAGCCAGAACAAGTCGGCGGATACTAGTCTCGAGTTAGTATGATTCGTTGAACTCAGATGGCATACGACTTACCGATGAATATTGAAGTAGACCTTCAGATTCTTGGCATCTTGCCCATCTCCGGTCCTTGCAACCATGGGCTGGCCTTGCCCATTGAAACAGCCATCACTCCCGGCATAGTCTTCATCAGGAAGTAGCGTTTCCTGTTCCTCTCTACTCTTAGCAGATCTTAAAGCGTCGCTCAACGTGCGCTGCGTTTCCATCATATGTGGGCGCTTCAAGTACTTTCGAAACTCAATGTGCCTTGACACCTTCCGCTCAGGCCCAGGCCTGTGCTTCGGTGATACATCATCATCAGCGTTACTTGACTCAACAGCAGCGCTGCCATTACTGTCGTGGCTGTTAAGGGGTTGACGGGGGAATGGTGGTCGAGCAAAAGTACCGTAGGCGGGACTACCGCTTCCGTTCCAGCCCGGGTTGGACGTTGGGCCTGACATATGAGGCTGCTGTCAGCCTTAAGTAATAGCAACAGGAAAGACCCAGTAAGCTACACACGATTGAGCGGGTCTGCCTAGAGATTAGTGAGGGGTGCGACAGAAGCGGACAAGCCTGCAGGCGCTTGGGTCGGAGGATTGTTTTCGCGAAGAAGGTGGAGCAGGTGCTGCTGTTCGTCGAACCTTCAGCGCTCTGTTCCTCGAATTCGAGGAAAGATCCGAGTTGAATCAACAACGATGATTAAGTAGTTTCGGCGCAATTGGCCGGTCTATGGGGGCAGGTGATAAGGTGGCAATAATTGCCGCAAAACGGGATTGAAAGGTGAGGTTTCACGCTAGATTATGCGTCCTCTAACCGCAACGGGCCTAGCCTACTTTGCCGTACCGCGACGTCAGTCGCTGGCTGTATCACTTCGACTGCAGGTACCATGGTAGCCCGCCAAGAAGTACATGAGTACGACCGGTACTATTCTCAGGTGACCTTGATAATAGCAGGGCTCGACAAGTAATTGCGATCGATAGGTCGATCATCTGGCTTTGACCCACTGGAAACACGCAGACTCCGCAACAATCAATCGATTGACATGATTGATTCCTATATAGGTTAAAGAATTACTTCATTAGGCAGCCTTTAACCTAGATAGGAATCAATCATGCCGATCCGATTGATTGTTGCGGAGTCTGGAAACACGTCACATACGCTCTTTGGATTACCCAAACATGATAATAAGTAGAATACGTGGCCGTTTCCACTATCATGCTTTCAAAGCTATCATCAAGTTTGCACTATCGAGGATGTGAATCACACCTATGTATCAAACTGAAGCACGTGACTTTATTCTCCAATTCACTCACCCGACAACTTGAACTTCTCAGGATCTATGTACTGTCAGATTTCTCAGTCCATGTTTGCTATGTGTAAGCTTTTCTTATGCACAGACTGCCAGCAGTCCAACTATGTTACTTGAACTCCAATATTCTGCCCTGTGTAGCGTTTACACAATTGCCGAGATTGTCCTCCCCATCAATAACAGAGTCAGGCTCGACGAATTCATCGTTCGAGCATGTCAACCACGATAGTCTTTAAGATATATAATCCCTTTTCACTGTATCAGACCCACATATTAGTATAGAAACCGACGCTTGATAATGTCCAGGCGCAAGTTACTAGTCGGCCACATTTCCTCAACTTCATCAATCTAGAAAACATTAAGTTGTGGGAAGCCCCTCGTGGGGCTTTATTGAGGTTTGGGGGCTTGTTAAAGAAACAAGCAATCAAGCAGCATGCGGGAATCCGGTAGATGATACGACATACGCCAACAATACCGAATCAGAATATCGTCTGGACAACACATTTGCCCCCTGAAACAACCGGACTTCATGCTAAAATCTTTGAATTTCACCATACCTGCGATATCACCAAACGGTGCTTGGAACCTCTATACAGATACAGCATACGACTGGTGTAGGAAGCGCATACAGGCTTATTTAATACATAAGAGTACTATGACATGCAAGATGAATCTCTAGCAGAGATGTCAACAAGCAAGTCAAGCTGGCTTGATTCTTATCGATTGCAGATCACAGACCATTCTCTGGGACGTGCCACTGTGCACGAGCCTCTATATTGTCTGTGATCTGCAATCGATAAGAATCAAGCCAGCTTGACTTGCTTGTTGACTTCTCTGGTAGCCAGAGGAATAAGGTCTTAAAGCACCGGAGTTTTCATGCCGGTCATAAGGGATCCTAGCATAAATGAGGTTCAACAAAGCGGAAATCGAAGGTTCGTGTTTTGTTCATGCTTAACTCTCAATGGGCAGTCACATGACTACACATATCACTACACCCATTATGATTTGTTTAGGCGTTGTAGAAATGCTCACTCATGGAAGTACTGGGAGTAATGTATATGTTTCTAAGTGTACCAATAGGCTCATATTAAAGCTATCTATAAATCTACACCAAGAAGATTTTCCCCTCCAATTCAATCTAGTTTTATTACTGCTTTCGTTGACCCATGAAAAAGGCAAAATTAGACTTCACAACGTCGACTTTGAGGTCTCCAATGATGGAAGAAACGAGTGTGCTGACCTGTTGAAGAATTGAGTGATTTTAGCATATGTGAGGATCATTTCAGTACATTTTGTATGGCACATCGGTTCTCACCACAGTCCGCAACAATCAATTAAGTGGGTCCTAGAAGGTTCAGATTGGATTGATTGATTACCGCTTTAAGCCTAGTAGTTACCTATAGGAGTTTAAGCCCTACCTAGATAGGTAAGTGGGTCTAGGAGAGTGACCGGATTGAATTGATTGTTGCGGAGTCTAGTTCTCACACGTATTTTCGCAGATGGATATTGCTCGAAGGGCCTAATGTGATACCCCAACTATGTAGTCCGTTAATCTCCAGAGGGTGATAGAAAAGATTCACAAGATTCTACTCTCTCTGTTATGTTGGTGGCGTTGGCATATAAGGCCTGTTACCGCCCAGTTACAGCAAGAGCTGTTTTCGATGTATTACGTGACTGCTGATACGTGTCATCTGTGTATCTAGGTAGTCGTTTTCGATCGATAAACTCGCAAGTGTAGGATAATGAAATCCTGGACGCCCAATACGAAACAAATTTGGTACGCAATGATCCACGATATGCAAAGCTGCCAGACTCCGCAACAATCAATCGGATCGGCATGATTGATTCCTATCTAGGTTAAAGGCTGCCTAATAAAGTAACTCTTTAACCTATATAGGAATCAATCATGTCGATCGATTGATTGTTGCGGAGTCTGAAAGCTGCGTTGTTCTAGGGAAATTGGCCTTCTATTCGCTCGTTATATAACTGCAAACACACTCAAATGAATGTAGGAAAGATTGTTTAGTCTTAGGTTTGCATCTGCATATCAGCATGGCAATCAAGATATCCATGGAACCAAAAGAAATACTACTCAAGATACACTCACGAAAAACTCAAGAGACCAAGCAGAAACGCGATGCCTCCCCCCCCCCAAATCAAGTTTTACCACTAACAAATCTTCAACTCTCCAGCATATGAACCGGCCCATCAACATAAAACGCAACCTTGAATCCCAGAAACCTCATCCTCTCATCCTCCTACAGCGAAGTCATCAGATTAGCCTGCGAGTCATAGGCACACCACCCTTCCCCCTGATTAGCTGCACGATACGCAAATGCCCGCCTTCTCATCTCGCTCAAGGCATCTTGCTTTGTCTCGCATACACACTCCGCGGAACAATTACGGTTGACGAGAATGCTAGGCGTCACGACGAACATTGGGTTTGGAGGAGCTTCGAGAGTGTGGGCCGCGGGAGAGTCGCGACGACAAACGACCCATCCTCTCGCTGGTGTGTTGGGTGTCGGTGTTGGGTCTTCGTAGTCTTCATGTATGATTGCGAGGCCGGTCATTGCGAAAGAGCGCATGATAGGTTTTATAGAGATGTGGGAACGTGCAGGGTTTATGGTCAAAAGGAAGAGAGTGTTACTTATGATGTAAAATTTGATTGCTTGAGATTTGATTGTAGAGGCAATCGTTATCCTTGGTGAATACTTGCTAAAAAGTCGCTGCCAGTAGCGGTCATGTTCGCTTTCGACGAAGAATTGCAATTATGATGATGAAATCGTGTGCTAGCTCATGATCATGATCTTGTGGGAGCATAAGTCGCGAGTATAGTCTGCAAGACAGATACAATAGATGAGATATAATCATAAACAAAACATTTTACTCGTCATATGAAACGACACCAATGTCTAGTCATGCTAGTTATTTATAAGAAATTCCCTGCATCATTTGTCTTCCGTAGGACCTAATCATTATATGATAACTATGTCGATGAATGAAATCGATTAGAAAACCCCGAATAATTGCACCTATTTCGTCCAAGGTTGGCTTGTATGAGCAAGATATCGGTTGTTGTGGTCACATTTCAATCAATCATCAGGCTGGGCTGTGAATACCTAGTTTGCTAGGAACTCTTTCGCTTCTGTACATCTTGAACACTACGTAAGAACCTTATGACACCCGAAGCGATCCATGCGAAGATCATCTCGCTGACATGTCAGTGCAATAAGGGTCTCAGCACGCAATGCCGTCATGCATTCACAAATTCAGACCAACATCCGGTTCAAAACCTTATACATCCTGCACCGATGCCACAATCGATGCAGCGTTCAAAGACAAAAATAGGTTGTGCACAACCACACAGGACTGCCACCATCTCTTATTACAACCACCTCCTATACACGCAACACCAAGCTGTTCAGCTGATGTGCGCCAAGGTGAACTTATCTTCACCCATCTGCCGAGTAAGCATCCATACACTCAGTTCGGGAGCCTCATCTCCGCACCCATCCGAGCCCCCTTAGCCATTCACATGACGCGGCTTCCAAATCGGGGATATCGCATTCGGTCCAGCCTCGGATATTAACCATTCCATAGTGCTGATACGATGCACAATGCCGAGGGAGGAAGACCCCGTGGGGGAGGCCAGATTTAGGTTTGCTCGCTAGGTACATCCTAGCGCGTGCTTCCCGTCTTGGCTGTAGATGCGGGGAAAGTGGGAGGGAGGGGAAGTGGTGTAGCTAAACATTGTTTTTTGTATTTAGAATCTGGATACTATATTGTATGGACTCATATATAGGCGCTCGGAGATCATAATGATAGAAGTTGATAACAGCTACTGCATCGGCCAGCGGACGCGTGACTTTACGCGCGTATGGGATCCACCGCGTGTTGCTGGGGGGGTGAGGCGATCGATCGGGCCGAAGTTCATCCGTGGCTGTTTCGTACTGATACCTGATTTGAATCGGCATAGATGATATTATAGTAATTGTGTAGCATATTGAACAAGGCTGTTCTTGCGGTCTGCTGTTCCTGGCGCAGATGGGAAAAAGAAGGGCAATGTCTGCATCTGTACAATAGGAGGCTGAAGTTTCGCTGGCGCTAGATCTGATCCGGATAATGCTGCATGACATCACGTCTTTCCGACATTCATCCCTTTGCGCCTCATCGCGCATTACAGGTGTTTGTGCCTCAGGAATTGATTTTATCGCAGTGAAATAATGTGTCGCTTCATTGTATCCCAACCATTCTATAACGCCATTTTGCTGCAGTGCCACCCAAAACCAAGGTAGTATCGCCCTTTCGTTACTACTCTACAAATTCCAGAGAACATTCCTCCGGTCCTTGGCGTTGACCCAGACATATTCCGTACACCTCGGGTCTGACTTGGTGTTGCCGAGTGTAACAGCAAAGAGATTGATCTCCATCCACACAGGTCGCATGCCCATGCGCTCAAGCCTCTCCCACCATTTCCTGAAGCGGCCGAAGTTGACGCTGCCGCCGCCGCTCGAGTCCTGGAGATGAACGCCGTCGCCGAGATGGAGCTCGATCATGACTTGACCAATGGGTAAAACAGAGTTTCCAGAGGCGGTCTTCATGTTATCAAAAGCGTCCATCATGGTGTCAAGGGCGTCGTATTCGCTACCCTCGACGTCGATTTTCAATATATCGATGTAGGTGTGGTTGTTTTGCTTCATCAAGCTGGGTAGGGTCCAAAATGGCGGATCGCTCGAGTGTGCATCCTCCTTTCCAAGCCCAACCTTCTTAAAAAAGGTGCGGTGGCGGTCTTTCACTGCGATTTGTGGTCCCCACGCGTCGACAGAGAAGTCGTAGCCCCAGATGCGGGCGCTGGGTACGCGATCGAGCATTTCAGCTTCGAAGGACGACTCGCCGTTGATACCAAAACTGTACATTACAAGGCCTTCCTGTGCGGTGGTGATGGCGGCTTCTTGAGTTGTGCTGGCTGCTACGGCTTTTGGGGCTGGCAGCTTTTCGTAAACGTTCATTCCGCAGACCCATTTGCCTCCATCACCTAGACGGCCCACGCGTTGAACGTCATGAGGGCATGTCCATGTTGGGGGGAAGAAATCCCAGATAGTGTATGGGTACTTCAAAAAGTCTGTAGGGAAGAACGGGATTTGTGGGTTGTCCGGATGTTGCTTAGCCATTTGGTCGCGTCGCTCAACACTGTTTTTCCATGACTTCTCCGACAGCGCAGACCGGTCTTTGATCCATGCCTGTAGTAGTGAGGAAGGCTGTGAGGATCCGGTAGATGGAAGTACGGGAAGGTATGGGAGTAGGGCCGTGCCAGCGGATTCTTCGTTGCGGAAAATGACGATTAGGAATACGACTACGAATATTCCGGCAAAGATGCGAGCTGCGGACTTTGTAAGCAGAGCGCAAAGGTGCTGTGGAAAGAAAACTGACCTCCGAATGACCTGAACATGGTGGCTGTAGTGAAAGAGTGACGTCTAAGCCAAAGTTGAGGGAAAGACCGTAATGTATAACCTCCGAGTTGAATCGGTGGAGGTATATGAGGCGCGTCGAGCGTGGAGGGGGAAGAAGGAAAGAAGACAATCGATTGTGTTCGAGATCAAATGAGAAGTACCTCAAACGCTTTCACTCCTGGTCTGATCGGGTCGGCCCTTTAGAAATGTGCCAAGCGCGCTGCGAAACAATAACAGCGGATCAAGGGACATGTTACGTGTGCCAGTCCACACGCCGAGCGCTTATCATAACCAAAGGTTCACCCGTTACAGACACGGCAACTGAATGCACGTCAGATCATCTTCCGACCGTGCGGCCTGGATGCTATGCAACCCCGCCCCAGACAACGCCACCATTGTTCGCACCATTGGGTCTGAGCAGTGCGCTAACACCGCTTAGCGGACACGGGGGAGTCATTAGCCGCAAGACCGTTCGTAGTGGGCAGGGGCCAACACCATTGATCAGCGTCAGCGTTGTTTCATACTAATGTCTGTGTTGTCTCCTTGGGATGCCTGTAGCGAGGCGAAGCTTCGGAGCTGGGAGCATATGGAGCAAGTGGGTATCGCGACATTCCAAACTGTCGCGTCGCGTAGGTGTCTATATGATGTCATACGATCTAATTCTATCAAAAGAAATGTTGATTATCAGAATCGGCTATTTACAGGGGGCACATCATTACTCCTAACGGCTGATGTTGTTGCTGTACCACCCGCGTTCCCTGGCGCTAACATTCCAGCCAGCGCCAGACTTAGGCTAGCGTCTTGTGTACGAAGATGGCTGCTACCACTAATAGCACACTACATGTAGTAAAAACCGTATCGCGATGCGCTTCGCCTAGAATGGACTGTTAGCTGCGGTCTCCAGCTCTGGGCATGACGGAGTTGCTTACCTTCTTTGGTGGTGCTAAGCGCAAGCACAACGAAAACGTTCAGCGGAATACGAAGAATGCCGTAGATACTCGCCCGCGAGCCGTCTTCGATGAGCTTGCTTTTCAGCGAGCCCATTGCGGGATAGTAAATTCCGCAGCATAGTTCAAAAATGCAGAAGCACCAGAGAGTGACGCGCTCATCGCGGAAGTGCCCGGGGATGAAGAAACAGGCCGAGGAAACGGCCAGGATGCCGGTGAGCATCTTCTGTGCAGGCATGGGCGATGAGGATGTGGAAACGTGTTTGTAGAGGAGCGAGCCGAGCATCATGGAGCACATGAGAATCGCAAAAATGAGACCGAATGGAAGTTCTTCTTGGCGTTAGTTTGTTGGTCAATATTCTCCGAGGAGGAGTGGCTTACCTTCAGTTGAGCCAGCCAGTTTATGGCTGAGCTTCAGCGCTGGGAATTTGAAGAAGATGAATAGGAAGAGCGATCCTTCAAAGAACCCCGACACTAAGGCGAGAATGAGGATGTTGCGGTCACGTAGAATGGTACGTAGAGCCGAAGTCGGTGCAGGTGCAGGGGTCGCTTCCTCTTGTTGGAGAAGACCCTCTGTCTCTGACGCTCTCCGGCTGCTCGATCCATAGTTCTCGCCCCAACACCTCGATATGGCGACGAAGCTCAAAGCCAAGCACACAATCGCCGCCATGAAGGGTGCCTTTGCGGTTCCAGTACATCGGACAGCCCACTCCGCAAAGATACCCGCTGCGATAGCGACACAGGTGTTAGATGTCGTCATCGTGCTAAAGATGGCGCTCAGATGGGCTTCTCCGTCTTGGATCATGAGTTGGTTGAACTCGGCGACTAGCCAACTCTCAAATACGCTCCATAGGATAGTTCCGCATACACCGCCGAGGATACGGCCCAGGAAGAGAACGTAGATGTTGTTGGTAAGAAGAGTGGCGCATGAGAGCGAGTAGATTACGCAGTATCCCAGACACGCTGCCTTTCGGCCATAGCGGTCTGCAAGCCCGCCCGCGAAGGATGCAGAGACACCTGCGGCAATGAAGCCAGTGAGGAACAGAAATGCGACAAGTTCTTCGGGGAGGCCTTTCTCGTCTGATGGCGTATTAGCATGTTATGGTTATAACAATAACATGAACGTACCTTTGTAGATGGGGTAAATATATGGCCCTTGGAGCCAGTCTGCAGCGTTGACCAGCAAGTAAATAGGAAAGAATCGCTTCTTGAGCTTGCTTAGGCCTTCAAGATCGGGTTCTACATGGCTGTGCTCCTCCTTCTTGTCTGTAGTGACGGCCTCGACGACTGCCGCCTTGCGGGAGCGGTGCGATTGGTAAAAGGCAAATGCATTGAGGAGAAGCGATCCAGCGAACGTAGCTCGGTAAAGGTCCATGTTGAATTTGGACTATCGAGTTGATGTTGAAAACGAAGGTATGATGATGTTGTTGTTGTTGTTGTGAATGTCCAGCAATCACGCAAGGAGAGGATGGAGATATGGTAAGCGGCGCTAAGACGGCCGTGAATGGAATGCTCGTATCCGGGTCAGTGCCAACACTTTACCCTTTGGCCGTTGCACGACAGTGACGCGACAGGGCATAAGTCTGAAGTAGGCTTGCCGCCTCACAAGCCGCTTGGTGTTCCAGGGCTAGGTTGATCTCAATCAGGGCCGAGGAGCCAAACGTCAACGATGGCATACACAGGTCCGGTAATAGGCTTGGCCAGATTGCGCGTCAATAAGTGGGCTGACACAAGGTGGCGTTTCTGGTATGTGGGACGCGGCTAGTGTGAATGATGCATAGCCCTTGAGTGTGCGGGGGTATCCTCCCTAGAAGGTGGGGCTGTACTGGTTAACCGCGGCATCGCCGCGTGAAACACCGGTAAAGTCCACGTTTCAGATACCGTGTCGTCAAGGGCGTCCTTGATTGCTTTTGATCGCGTTGGTATCGTCGCATTCGGCATTATGGTTCTAAGAACTTTTGTATCGACATATCGAGATCCAGACATGTTCCATCCAACAAAGTGCGGCCTTTGACGGCTTCTACGTCAGATCCGACCCGGCTTGGCTCAGATCTTTATTTCGTCCTGGGACCAACGCACGTGTACCTATGGTTTAACACATGCGCCGCGCTTTTGTACACTTTGTCCGATGGCTTGTCCTCAGTTCCAGTCGAATTGTTGGACGTCTAGAAACATCCAGGCTTGTGCTGCGTCGCCTTCTGCAATCGCCACATTTAACCCTGAACTCATTGTCTGCATAGTTCCAAACTTTCTCAGCGCCGCGCCACTAGGAAGAGGCTATCCGTTTGCCTTTGAGAGACCCCTGGGCCCCGAAGACTGCACCCTAGAAGCGTTCATGGCCAGCTTATAGGTGTCGGAACTGCCATTGCATACCGCAGCGCGCCCAGAGTAGTACACAACGCATTCAGAGGGGGAAACATCCAAGATGTTGTACCTGCCAAGCTATTGGCCCAGAGAGTATACGAGAGCCGCTCAGATCCGAGCAGCGAGTTCGGTGATGCGCGTAGCACATCGGTTCTAGATGGCAACGAGTACGGACCTGACGAAGCAGGGTTCTGTCACCTGTCACCAACCGCAAATATCCAAGAAATCCAAGAAATCCATGACCGTCAGAGTCCATGCATCTGCCCGGGCAGCTTTTTTACATCAGTTTCGGCAGGTCATGCTATTGGTTACCGCTTGGGATTTTTATTCTCTTGTCGACGCAGGGGTCTCTAGTATTTACGTCCTGGGCACTTGGCATTGTGCCAGATGGTCTTTGTGACGGTTATGAGGAGAAGCAGATCACGTGTTGGTGGTCTGGTGCTGCTTCCTCACTTTGTTGAGCACCTCTTACCTCAGCTGTATCATAGATACGTCATGTAAATAGACCCTGCTGCTGCTTCTGAGAGCACAGCACGAAGAACACAACAAGAGAGCAGAATACATGAAATTACGTTCTACCGCAACAGTCTTGTTTTGTGAGCAACGCGCGCGCTCGAAAGGTTCGGGAAGATCGACGGTGATCCTTTCAAAGGGGCAGCCGTAAACACAAGCTTGAGCATCATCTACGCAAGGCTTATACGAGCTAAAAACAAATGCTCGAGTTGACGCAGGCAAGCGGGGTATGGATATTTGGGACACTCGAGGTTGCTATGATGACACCGAAACAGACGTGGTGAGGATCAAACAGACCCGTATTCAATGTATCTATGTCTGGTTTTTGAAGAAAGCGTCAGCATGTCGGCATCTCTAGATGCAGGTACTTCTCCCTTACTTGATACGCAATACGCAATACGCACCTAAGAACGCTGTCGTGGTGCGCATGCTGCATTGATTGAAATGTGTATTGAAATGTCTCGCAGAACAATATACCGTTCCGTAGTCTTTTCTCGAGTATAAACGTCTGTAGAAGCAGTCGCATGGCACGACGCTAAATCGGTTGTGGTACATGACGTTGCCTTCGAGCCTTCAGCATCTCGCCTGCCACACTCGTCATATTCGGGAAGAGCGTCAAGCAAGGTTTCTTTGCCATTGCTCACTTCATAAGATGCATCTCTTATATGATTCATTCGTGTGAGTATCTACAAAATCAAAACGCCGTACCCGTGGTCCCTCCCTGGAGCATAGCTACGTACCTAGGTACCTAGGTAAGTAGGAGAGTATCAAGTCCAGCGGCACAGAAAGACCTAACCCTGGCATACATCCTCCATCTGCCGCTTCAGATCCACCCATCCAACTCCTATCTTTCCGTCACTCTTCTCTCCTCCTCTTAACCACCAGAAGCGATGTACTGGGCCCTAGTGCCGTCGCCCCTACGTGCTGGTACTGTGCGATCGAGGTTGCGGACAGCGATGAAGCAGGTTGGACAGGCCACAGCCTGGCAAGCTGGGCAGCGACGAGTGTTGGGGGCAGAGTGCCCGGCAAGACAGAACACGCAGTAGTCGATACCGCCAGTCTGCGGGCTCCAGCGGTGGGACCATTGGCGGTAGCCCTGGTCGGTATATGGATGGGTCATCATGACCTCGAGGCCATGTGCCATGGGCACTGGGCTTGAAGGCCGACCTCCAAATGGGCTGTAGATGCATTAGTAAGAATGCTCTCAAGGAGGTTCCACGGTGTTCACTTACTCCTCTTCTTGACCCCTAAAGCCAGCGGCCCTCAAGGCCTCTTCCCAAGCCCTGGCCTGTTGTTGGACGATGACCTCTCTCCACCAGGAGCTGAATCCGCTCCCTGGCCCGTTGGCCACTTGACCTTGCGGAAACTCGGTCTCTTGGTGCTTGCTCTCGGTGATGTTGCTCTTGAGCTTATGAAGGGCGAGCGCCAGCTTCTTGTACGCTGTCTTGATGTCTTTGCACCAAGCACTAGTCTGTAGAACTAGGTTAGTGTGATGTTATGTTGCCATGTTTGGCGTTGGAGGTATTTTCCTTAGTGTGGTAGGTAGGTGTGGCGAGGTTGATGAAGAAAGGAAAGGATAAAGCAAAGGAAAGCTTGAAGTCATATATACCCCTCATAGGCGTGAGGTGACTCAACGCTTCAAGAATCGCAACAGAAATTACCTCATGAGCGATTGGGGCCTACCTCGAAGTGTGGGTGTCATCTTAAGCAGAACAACTGTTGAGAAGGAGCGAACGACGCGTCTCAGAAGGATCCGCGTTCTATACCTCTACGTAGTTCTGTGTTAAAGGGTTAATGCACAGTTCTGTGAGTCAGGATACCGAGCTGAAGCAATGTTCATGAATTGCTACCAGTATGAAGCTACTAAGATCTACTTCTTAGTCCTCGAGCTCTCAGGCTATGTATCTACCATGAATTCAATAAACTGTAACTCATCCAAGTCATTACAGGCCACTACCTTCAAACCGTCCAAGCCATGCAACAAGGAATCTGCACTGTACAGTCTAGGCGAGCGAGAGCTTTTCGAGAGAAATGAGCTCTTGGGCCTAAGATCGTTAGTATCTGGTAGTAAAAGAGTATTCGTCAGTTAAGAGTCGCTACATACCTCTTTTGGATTACCTTCCAGTTTCTCAAACTCTACGTAGCGTTCATGGCCCGTTGTGGACTCGGCAAGTAAAATGGCGAACTCTGCCTTTGTAGTCTCATCTGTGACTCGGCAAGGCCAAGGCTTGACAATGGTATGCTGTGCTTTGACCTGGACACCATACTTCTGCGCAAAATCCTTCATGGAGCCAGACTCAAAAAGATCTGGGTGCTGAAGGTACTTGTTGAAGTGCTCATCAAAGTTAGCAAACATGGACATGGCATCGGTGACAACGACCATTTCCACTAAGACTCTGTTCGGTGGCTCATTCAAGGAGCGAGGTTTGCCAACGCCGCGTAACATACGCAGGAAGCTTGCGTTTTTGTCCGGGATAACTTCCTGTACCCGATGTGCTAGAAGTAGATCAAACTTCTGCTCGCCTTGTCTCTTCGTCTTCTGTGCTTCTTCTTCGCGTACTGCGTTCAAGAATAGCATCAGGATAGTGGCGTGCGGGTTATCGACCTTTGCTTTCAGCATAGGGGAGAAGACTTTGAGGGTCTGGCTAATTCCAACGTAGGCACGATCGCAAATGTTGGCCGCCTTCACATTGTTAGATAGATGTGCATTGAATGAGTAAGACTGTTCGACATACCTCAATCCGGTCAAATCTAATATCCTTTGTGTAGCTTGGTAGATTAACAGCATTGACGTTGAACAGACGAAAGACAATTTTGCTGTTGCGAACGCGCTTGCAGAATTGCAGCAAAAGGTTGCGAAGGAAGTTGAAGAAAGCACCATAGACGTCATTCTTTGCTGCGCTGGAGTGAGTAATGTACTCATTATACGACCAGCCAGAGAGCGGATCTGCGTCATCGAGCATAGGCCACACGCCCTGCTGTCTGAAGAATGTACTATTGATAGTCAGTATTTATCATTTATGACTTGGTTAGACTTACGGATTCGGATAGACGAAAGGCTTTCGAGACGTGCCATAAGGAACAAGAAGACCCTCCAAGCGGAATTTCCAAGTACCCGTGCGCCGGCCAGGTGGCATCTGGTACAGTGCCTTATCAACAAAATCTACCCTTCTAGGCGCGCAAGTAGTATGCTGCCGAATCTGCATAGCTCGGTGTGACGACAGCTGGTCGGGCGAAGTGAACATCTTGGAAAGTTCGACCCATGCTCCCTTCTTCAGAGCCAAACAAATTGACCGATCTCCAAAGTTGAAAGTCTTAGCCTGATCTAGTTCCGTACTCTTGTGCTTGATCTTGTCACATACTTGCTGCACATAGGGCAGAATGCAGTCCTAAAGAGCCTTGATGATTGGCAACGGGAGGAGCACAGAGTACCAGAGATGCATGATGATCGGAACCGCGGTCTCAGGCTCAAAGTGCATAGCGGCAAGGAGCATCATAGCATTGCGTGCAGTGATGGTGAAATTCCAGTCGTTCATTACCACAACACAATTGCCTGCGTAGCCCTTGGGAAGCCCAACGACGGTTTTGACCACATTGCGCATATCACCAGATGCCGCAAAGAGAAGGTTAATGTCGCGTTTCATTATGTCTTTACCCTCGTTCTTGTCGGCGTTGAGTATGTCCAGGGCTGGCATGTTACCCCACAAGTACTGCAGCGAGCCGAAACTAGTAATGTCGAAGCCGGGTTGATCGGGCGGTCCACCAAACGGTATGCGACATTCTTTGACATAACGAGGCAGGTAAGTTTCTTTGAGATGCTCGGAAGTGCAAATGGGTTTGTGACGTTTCCAGTCGGTTACCTGGCATGCTTTGCAGCAGTACTGTCTTGAGTGAGTAGGCTTACGTATAGCTGACGGAATGAAAATTTCGACTGACCTGTACTAGAAAGCACTTGCTGCAAACCATCGTAGCTTTTTCTTTACATGGTGAGATCTCGCTGTCGACCATACGATCAGTGTTCGCGCAGAGAGGCGGATCGAGGAACTCGGACAGATCTGGAGTGCTGGATGACATTCTTGCTATCAACGTAGCAGTAGCTACAGCTGACTATGGGGTTGGAGTTAATGTCGATTGATTGAGTGCGAGAGATTGGTTGTGCCCATCGACGCACGGACCGGTCAGGCGGCGCGCTCATCGTGAAGTGAACGTGAGAGCAAGTGCAAGGCAAACGGGCGTTGTTAGCGCGCGCAGTATAGCAATTTCAGCATAACTGGGTCGGGTGCTAAGTTATAGTAGAAGCTCCCCCTAGAACGATGATTGAGCACGCGAATCATGGCCAAGCATTTCGCCGATGAAACTATTCAATGGTAGTAAGCTGTATGACGGCAAGTTATAAAACGCCTTAGATGGGCTGCTTCATGAGATTTCAAGTAGAAGATTCATACATTATGTACTTTTGAAGTTGAGCTATCTTACGCTACCTCAAGCTTCCCTGGCTCCGTTGAAGACCGATCCCGTTGCACCATCGCTATTCATCAATTTCGTGACAGTATCCTATGTCCTTATGCGCACCTGATACATGTCGACACACTAGTCATGTCATCTCCGCTTCACCTATCTTGTGTCTCGCATTCCACCTGAAGCATCGTGATAGCTACGCTTTTAATAACGAACGCCATCAACAGGAGCAGCAGGAGCGGGCATGCTGGTTTCATGGGTTTGATGAAGGGCTTTCTCGTGATCGAGCCTGTCGCGTCGGCGGTAGTCTCTAACTTCGTGGAAGGCAGCCGTGATGGCATGTAGAATACTGGTAGTGTAATTAGCAACAGCTATGGAGAGGCTAACAATGTATGAACTTACGTGCTGATGATAGCCAAGATGAACGTGCCCCAGGGAAGGTTGCAAGAATCGTCGCGACGCGTCGTGATGCCATTGACGACACCCGTGCTCGTTCCATCTGCTCGGCGCGTAGGGTTGTAGCAGTGCTTGGCTCCAGCAAGGCCACCATCAGGACGAGTCAGCACCGAGACGGCAATGAAGGCACCGACGAAGATCAAGTCGAAGAGAACCCAAAGCCACCTGAGCTTCCTTCCTCCGGGGTTGGCGGATTTCTTGATGCACGAGAACAGGATGTTGATAAGCGTGTAGAGGGCTGCAGCGGCGAGAATACCCTCAACGGCACCGTAAGCGCCATTCACACCGCGACGGGTCTTGAAGGCGTTGACGAGACGATAGACCTTGTACAGGCGTCGTGAGAAGATGCCAAGAGACACGATAGCTGAAATAAACTGCAAGAGTCGAGTGAGACGCAACAGCCAGCGGTAGAAAGCTGCACCCTTGAGCTTGTCGGGAACAAATCGGGTGAGAAGACCAGTTTGCTCGCGCTTGTCAGTAACGGGGTAGTTGTTGACTGGGCCGTCAATGGGTTGGTGGTGTCGCTCCATTGTGAAGTCGAAGTGGTATCCAGCAAGGCTAATTAGAATTGATACTGGGGAAGGGAATTGGCGAAGTGGAAGTTTCTACTAGATATGTAGTGCAAGAGAGGTTGGTTGAGGTAGAAGCTTGTAGATGAGCAGAACTATATATCTGCTGGAAACAGGTAAGAGCTATGTGACACGACCTCTCCTTCTGTTTTCACAGAATCGTCACTCACCGTCACCGTTTCCCCGCAACAGCCTTGGCCTGCTAGAACATGCTGTGCCCAAAATCTTCTTGAATAATTCACACGTGCTAATTTTTGTCTGAAATAGGTACAACCAATAGTGATTTACGATCGTCGAGCCACATTTAGGCGTGACTGGTGGTTGAGTGGCTGAGAAGAACGACACGTGACTGCGCTTGCACTACAGTTACGTCACGCATGGCTTTTTCGTGCTTTTTCGTGCTTTTTCCTGGTCCTGCTCCAAAATTCCATTACCAGTTATATAAATGCGCGTCAGAGCTATGTCGATCTGCGGTAGCGATTTGTCGTGGTTGCGGCGTCGCTTGATGCGAAGTCTTATTGTTGGGACATGACGAGACCTGTATGCTGTGGCCCTGTACTTTCCGGAGGTGATCGTCGCGATGCAGGTTCCGTTGGTTCTGGGAAGACGCAGGATGCGTTTTCAATAACTATTTGCTCCCTAGTACCCGATTGCAAGCACAGGGTACAACCAGAACCTCTCTTGCTGCAGGTTTCCAGGACCTGTAATTCACTGTTGTAGGACTGACTTTGAGCGCTGAGACGAGCCTCCATACATTACCCGATAAACGGTGAATCATCGCCAAAGAGACGTAAGACCACCCATCTGCAATCTTGACGACAAAGCTCCAGTTGTGGTAACAGAAAGAGCTGAAAGAGGAGATACTGGAAAACGTTTGCGTAGACGTAGCGTTTGGGCAGCGGTTAGGCACTGCAACGCTCATCGCCTACCACAACGTAGTGACGCATTAAAGACAATGGAGCTTACAGGACTTCTAGGAGATAGGGAAGGCTTAATGCGATAGAGGGGGGGTCGAAAGAGGAGGAATACTACGAATCCCTTTGAGTTCCTCGGGTTCCGAACGATGGTATAAAATGTCAGCTTTGCACAAAAGAAAAGAAGCGCATGCTCCCTCTGAAGCAATCTGCTGGAAACGGCCGTTGCCAATAAAGGGACGACGGGAGCCTCACATCTACGGTGACCCTATCTGGGAAGCCGGACATGTCATGAGGCTCGGACACCGCCGAGGGATCTTCATCCACATCTCCTTTAGGCTTAGCCGGCTACTGATAAGCCGCACCCGACGTCTCATCTCCCAGGCACCGTCCCACGTGCAGTCGTCACTCTCAGCCATGAAACGCCATCTGACTGGTCTCGCCGCAGCAGATCACTATCGTGGCTCAAACACAGCCCAGGCCACAATGTGCGTGACCTGGCTGAGCGTGATGCCTGGGACCGAGCCATGAGTGGCTATGGCCTTTAACCCTTTGATCCCCCATAAGCAAGCTTATCCAGCGCCATCCCCGGTGCTCCCATAGTACCTCCCACGCACTACCTTACTGTCTCCATACCGCGTCCACCAGTCGATTCGCGTCAAGGACAGCTCGCATACCGGGAGCCCATTACCGCAATCTTGCATACGGCATACCCGCCGGCGACGGACCTAGACTAGAGGACCGACCTTCCGCATCGAGGACCAGTGTATTCGCCGTTTGCCGAATCAGCGACAACAACGTGAAGGTGTGGGAATCAGAGCTGCCTCTACGGGAAGATCGATCCGCCAAAAGCTTGTATAGGCTTGTTACACGGCGCCAGGTTCAATCTTCCGTCCTTGCAGTAGTTTGGGAGGCGAAATATGCCCGTCATGCTAGACTCCATGGTTGAGGCGGCGAAGGAGGGAGTACATAATGCGGCGGCTTCTGCCGTAAACTTGGCTGCAGAATCATCATCAACCATGCCTTCTCTCAGGACACTCAGCAAGTTTGTGGTTGGCGGTGCACAGGTCATCCTCGGTGGTGGAGGCCGTGTCTTGGGCGACTTCACCCAAACTTGTCCCAACGCTCAATTGAGCTGCCACAACACGACTATTGTGGAGAACCTGTGCTGCTTCAATGCGCCAGGTGGGCAGATGCTACAGACGCAATTCTGGGATTACTCGCCATCAACGGGTCCAGTGGATAGCTGGACCGTTCACGGATTATGGTCCGTACTACAACTACCCTACACCTCAAATGCCGAAATACTAACTTGACTTTTAGGCCCGATCTATGCGATGGCACATACGAAGCGAACTGCGACTCCTCGCGCTCCTACTCGAACATTAGCGCCATCCTCAACTCCTTCGGCGCAACAGATCTCCTATCCTACATGTCCACCTACTGGAAAGACTACCAAGGCAAGGACGATTCTTTCTGGGGCCACGAGTGGTCCAAACACGGCACGTGCGTAAGCACCCTTGCCCCAGACTGCTACGACGACCATAAGCCCACCGAGGAAGTCGTCGACTTCTTCCAAAAGACCGTGGACCTCTTCAAGACGCTACCTAGCTACGAGTGGCTCAGCGAAGCAGGCATCACACCCAGCACAAGCAAAACCTACACCTTCTCCGACATCCAAAACGCTATCCAAGCAAAGAGACCCGGTGTCTCTGTCACCCTGGGCTGCAAGTCCGGTGCCTTGAATGAAATCTGGTACCACTTCGACGTCCGCGGTAGCTTGCAAACCGGCGACTTTGTCCCTGCGAACCCCGATGGCAGTAAATCTACTTGCCCACAGACGGGCATCAAGTACATCCCTAAAAAGGGCGGTGCTGATCCTCCATCTACCACCACAACCGTTGGCTCCCCAGCACCAACATCTACTAACCCGTCAGGGACACCCTACAGCGGCCGCGGAACCCTCAACGTCATGGTCAACGGCGCGAAGAAGGGCTGCATCATTTCAAAAGGTACCTGGTACACCACCGGTACGTGTGCGACATTCACCGCCTCCGATGCCGGCGACGGCTTTACCCTGAGCTCCAGCAAGGGCAAGTGCGGCATCGTTGGAGGAGCGCTTTCGTGCGATTCCACCGTGTCGAGCGGCACTGGGTTCACGAGTGTAGATGGCAATTTGGCGGCTGGAGGCAATGCCATGTGGAGCGCGGATAAGGTTGCGTCAGGAAGTACACAGCAGACTGTGTACGCGGGTGGGGATCACTCGTCGACGTTTTCCATTACTTGGTCGTCGGCTTAGACGGATTAGCGCTTTTGCTTTGTTGTAGTGTGTTGGTTATAGGAATTCTACACTAAGCCTTTGAGTCACATGATTCGTGTGTGGTGCACCTGTGCAACTGATACCCAGAATCATCTCTATGCGTGAACTCGTTTTCTTCGTTTCGCGCAGCGCTTAGTCCCCCATTCCAACTTGTACAGATTTGTCTGTCGCTAATTCGTTTCACTTAGCCGCCTCACTCTCTAGTTTTGCGACGTGGCTAGACTACGCTAGCAGTGAAGCAGCATCACTTGACCGACTAAAACTGGAGGACATAGACACAGCATTGTCGGAACAAAACTTGAGTAACGGGTCCAAAGACCCTTATTCATACATATTGCTGGTTAAGCAACAACCTGGAGAAGCCAAGTGCTGAGCGGGGGTTTGCATCGTTCAACCCCCCTTGATATGTAACTTTTCTCATACCATGATATCATTCCTCATGAACCCAAAATTGGTGCGAGCTGTTGAACGTGCCTGTCTAGATCCTTTTGTTGAAACACCCTGTCCCGCCAAACGCCTTTACGCCACGCGAACAATAGATTATTTAGATGGGAAGGGGGAAAGTGACGGCCCAGGCCGCAATCTCCTTCTTCAGGTCGTTGATCTCTTGCACCTCGCCGGATGCGACCTTGTTCTTGAAGTCCTTGAGCTTGTTGTTCTCCTTGGGGAGCTCGCTCTGGATCTTCTTGCATAGTTTGATGCATGAGTCGATGTAGTTGGCAATCTTCTTGAAGTCATCCTCACCCAGACCACGCGATGTCATGGCTGGTGCTCCAATACGGATACCCATAGGCGTAAGTGCGGACTTGTCACCAGGGGTGGTGTTCTTGTTGCAGGCAATGTTTACCTGCTCGAGAACGGCCTCAACACGGGCACCGTCGAGGGCAAAGGGCTTGAGGTCCAGGAGGACCATGTGGTTGTCAGTGCCGTCAGTGACGAGCTTGTAGTCCATCTTCTTGAAGGCAACCTCAAGTGCCTTTGCGTTCTTGATGACTTGTTGCTGGTAGAGCTTGAAGTCCTCGGTCTGGGCTTGCTTAAGCGCAACAGCAAGCGCGGTGATGGTGTGGTTATGGGGACCACCCTGGTGACCAGGGAAGACGGAGAAGTTGATGGGTCCCTCGAGGTCATATAGGGTCTCCTTGCCAGTCTTGGCATCGGTCTTGCGCACGCCCTTGCGGAAGAAGATCATGGCACCACGGGGTCCACGAAGGGACTTGTGGGTCGTGGTGGTGACAATGTCGCAGTATGGGAAGGGCGACTTGTTAACACCAGCAGCGACAAGACCAGAGATATGGGCCATGTCCATCAACAGGTAGCAGCCGACCTTGTCAGCAATCTCGCGCATGCGGGCATAGTCGATCTCACGGCAGTAGGCGGAGGTACCGGCAACGAGGACCTTGGGGCGGTACATGAGGGCGTTCTGCTCGAGCTGGTCGTAGTCGATGAGGCCAGTCTCGAGGTTTACGCGGTAGGGGAACGTCTCGAAGTATGTGGAAACAGCGGAGATTCTAACTTGCTGTCAGCCTATACTCTTCAGGACGCATTGTTCTGTACACACTTCCTCTGCGGTGTCTGGTAACCGTGGCTCAAGTGACCACCGTGGGGCAGATCAAGACCCATCAGCCTGTCGTGTGGCCTCATGATGGCTTGGTATGCCTGCAAGTTTGCCGGGCTACCGCTCAAGCATTGTACGTTGACACCCCACTTCTCCGAGTCAAGACCAAAGGTCTCAAGAGCGCGCTTCTGGCAGAGCAGTTCGATGGAGTCAATGTGCTCGTTGCCACCGTAGTATCTGGCACCGGGGTAACCCTCAGAGTACTTGTTGGACATGGGCGAACCGAGCGCATCAAAGACGGCGCGGGAGGTAACATTCTCGGAGGCGATGAGGAGGATGGACTCGCGTTGACGCTGAATTTCCTTCTCCTGTGGTTCTGTTAGATGACGGTACGTACAGAAAAGACTGCATATCGTACCATGATTTGAGCGACCTCATTGTCAGTGTCCACCAGGGACTTCTCCATGAGCTGGTTCGAGTCAGCATTATGTACTTCTTTGTGAAGCGGGGCAACATACGTCCTGGTGGGACTTGGGAAGCGCGTAGCTAGACATGATGAGTAATTGGGAAAAACGACTAGAATTGGTAGGAGGGGAAGTGAGGACAAGGAGGAGAAGATTGAAAGGCTTGGGGAGATTTTAAACTGTCAGCAGTCAGAGCTGCATGTCTCTCAGGTGAACCCCACCAAATTTTTTGGACGCGACAAAATGCCCTATGCCCGCCTAGGCATGGCGCCAACTGTGATTGCACCCTACCGCCGGTCTTCGGAGTAACTCCGCTGCAATATTCGACGGAGAAGCCAAAGAGTCCATGGTTTCATAGCTGATAGAGCAAGATGGATTGCAAGAGCAACGATGTTCTATTCCGGAAGTGCTCAAGCCGTTCCGATCCTTCCCACGACTGCGCGTTTCCCCGCGTTTAGCCCCATGCGATAAAACCCCGGATCCGCATCACGACAGAAACACCTTCACGCGAGTGGCGCAGTTTGGGGCCGATGTTTGCTTGACATATTCAATTCTCATTCTTTCGTTTACTACATAAATACATTCCAACGATCCCAGCGTCTCTTTTAATTGGGTCGTTCCTCCGTCTAGACATGGCTGGATAACCCTCAGCACTGACTGCCATGAATCGAAATCGTGTGTCGCAAATAACACCCTCAACGCCAAGTATGCCAAACAATATTGTTCTGAGCAGCACGCTGCTATTGCATCGCCAAAAGGGTATGAAACTAGGCGGAAGAAGAAAAGGCCGAGTACACTCGGCACGAAATTACACAATCGCAACAACAAAATGCTCCTCCTCCCGTTAATTATGTTCTGAAAATATTCTCCGTCCTGTCGGTCCTCTTAGTCGTTGTCGGTGAGGCGGTCGAGAACAATGATGCTGAGAATCATGACGAGCAGCCCGATGGTTACTATTATGAGCAAGACAAAGCCGAACCAGCCAAGAACCATGGCCGATGTACCGACGCCAGATTTGACGCTCCCGTTTCCGAGATCTTGCACAATGGTTGCGGCTGCGACTGATGCTGTGTGTTGCCATAGGACGGAAACCAGGACAAAGATGGATGCGATGAAGATGAGTGCGAGTGCAACTTGTGAGACAGGCCTTGATGGGAATGGCTTGACGTCGACCTCGGACCCAGTTCGCTCATCGTGCTCCTCGTGCCATCCAGGAAAGGTGGCAAGTAGGATGAATGTGAAGAAGGCGAGGATGATGGCCACAATGAGCAGGTAGGGAAACACAACGGCGTCCTTGAATGTAGCCGCTACCCACACGAGGTTGAGGGGATCCTGGTCGACCGAGACATTGTCGACGAGTGCTGTGGCGTTGTTGGAGCAAATGAAGCCACCGCCGTCGCGGTTGATGCAGATGCCAAAGTAGCCGACGCGCACGCCGAGCTGTGCATTGCCGACAATGTTGGCAATTGCGGCTGTGACACCCGGGTCGACTTGTTCAGGTGCGTAGGTGGGTGTGAACTTTTCGTACCACATGGAGATGAGGAAGATTCCGGGAATGAGTGGCGATGTCGATGAGCATCCTGCCAGTAGTAATGCTGGAGATTGTTAGTTGGGTTGATATGGCATGCTTTTGTCTCATCTTACATAGTAATATTATCGCAATAGCGATGAGAATCATGAGAACATGGTGGAAGCCAAGAAACGGTATTAACCCTGATAAAAGTCAGTTTGCAATCCCTCTATGCACAGCGAGTGAATAGTACTCACGTTGCATGCTGACCGCGAAACGTAGGTTCGCCATTATGAATATGTCGCTTCAATCGGCTCCAATGGGTCTTGCTCCCTGCGCCCCCAGAGGGCCGGGCGAAACGAGCGGTGGAATGCACTCAGGCAGGTGCTTTTGGGTCTTGTCTCAAGTGTACAGGTCGAAGAGCGGAATGCGGATTGATGTTCGGTACGCTTGACGGGATAGTGGCAGCGTGGTCGGAATGTGCACTACAAAGACAATTGTCAGATGCCTCCTGCGGGTGAGAAAGTTCAATGTGGTGGGTAGCGTGGAATGTGACTTCTCTCTCTGCTGCAGCGCCTGGTAGTTTTGCTGTTGTGAAAAATAGTGAGGTTGGTCAATGTGGCTGGGAGGTGGTTGGACCCAAACAAAGTCGGAAGCCCATAGCAACCATCCGGAACACTAACGTCATGTCCCGTCCTGCCCAACAACCAATTACACAACACACTACTCGCAATCGGGCTACTCGGCGCCTGCAAAGGGACCTTAGCCCGTCGTGTTCCTGCATTAGACTGCTCCATTGCTGTGTATACCCAGCCTCTGCTTTTTCCAGAGCGACGTGGCGGCTTGCGTACGGCATGACCTTCATCTCCCAGCGACCGCTCTTCCGCGCGCGTCGCCTGTAGCGCCTGAACGCGCTGCCACGAGACAAGTCCTCAACAACACATACCGCCATTGCTTGGGTATAGAGTGGGTGTCGATAACGTCTCCACATGTACACCGCGTTGGCTGGAGCCAGTCTTAAAGCACACCATCATCCGCTTCTCAACATCTCCTCTTTCCATGTAGTCTCCGATTCTCCGCTCTGGAGTCCAGTGCTGCGCCTTGTACTATGTCTCGTGATTTCGGGCTCGGAAAAGATTCTCGACTCTACCGTGTCTTGGGCCCGTGCAGCGTCTTAGTCATGGCCGGAGACGTAGAGGCCGCGCGACATTTCTTTTGCTCGCCATGTTCCTCCGTGCTGACTCTACACAATCGCGAAGGGTGTCGCGCTCAAGCCTTCCCTAGACGCTGATCAGCCTTCCGGCAATTCCGCCATATCGACTACCGTCGCGTCAGCGATGATCGCTGTATTCGTCCCGTAAACTGGTAGCAGGATGCTGGACATAATCAAGCTCCGACCTCCGTTGACATGGCCATCATCTAGAAGCTTGATTGCGCTGTGCTAGAGATTCGACGGGATGACGTCATTGCTACACGTGGGACTTGTGTCCGACGCAGGGACCGCAGCAGTATGGCCCTGCCATGGAGCTGTCAAACAGACTCCTGGTAATAGCTATCGCGATCGGTACTACTCACGCCTACGGAAATAGAAATATTGCCATGACGTTATGCAGAGCGGGAAGAAATCTCGCATCATGCGCTAATAACTGCAAACGTCTCTCGTTCGGCCTTTCACCACGGGTCAGCAGCTTGATTTCGTTGCTGATCTTGCCTTATCTACCCCTGCACTTTTTGCCTCTTGATTGCAATGCAAACAAGCGAACAAAGGAGGCCTATCACGAAAGCAGGATCGATATCTCGCCTTCGTCAGATTCACAACAGTATGACGTCCTCGGTCTCATTCCAGGCAGCTGTCAGTCAACGCCTGCTGTTACGGCGAACGTCAGTCACAGACCATGACGTAGTTGCTTGAATACCTAGACATATAAATGACATGCTTTTGCTTTTGCGTTGTAGTCTCCATCAACATCAACTACACTCACGATTCAAACACCTTTACTATCAAAACAACCTATAACCCACAAACCAAGACTATCCAACAACCACAATCATGTCTGACGCATTCCGCAAAGATACCCACACCAAGATTGGCGAGGCCATGGTATGTCCCTACTTCCACTCCTTCAGCCCTAGAACATTAATCTAACACCCGCACCAGCAACCCCAGTCCACAAAGTCCACCGGCACCAAGATCAAGGAATCCCTGACCGGCACCGGCGACAAGATTGCCCGCGAGGCCCAGCCCGACTCTTCAAAGACAAACACTCAGTCTACCATGGACAAGTTCGGTCGCTCAAAGGACAGGAATACCCATGGCTCCACTGGCGGCAGCATTGTTGACAAGACCAAGGATGCGCTTGGCATGGGTCACCACACCAACACTACCACCCATGGTACTCACACTACCCACACCCATGGCAGCGGCTTGTAGAGGTCGTTGAAGGAAGTTTGTGAGAGAGTGGTTACGATATATGAGATACCTTGCCTGCGGGCTAATCAATGAATTAATACCCTGTTACACTCTGTCTTGATGCTTGTGATGCGACGTGCTGTTTCATGCACGATTTCTTGGGTATATATAGTCCTGCACATAAAAATACGGGTCAGTAGCGATTGATTCCTACTTTTTGAATGTTTGCGTTGAGTATACGTACCAGGTTGAACCATATTGGGTCAGTCTAGGCAAGGATTATTGCACAGTGTATACCTGTCACCCGTTATATGCTGAATTGGATCTTAATTCGCAATGCGAGTACACTTTTAATGTCTATTGTCAGGATCCCATAAAACCTTAACAGCTAATCCTGTCTCGCGGGGTCTAACTGAATGCTGCCAACGATCCCATCAATCTCCGCCATCACCTCCGGCGTAAGCTTATCCAAGACCTTGAGCGCCTGGCAATTATCTACTACTTGCTCCGGTCTCGATGCTCCCGTAATCACCGCTGAAACGTTGGGATTCTTCAAGCACCACGCCAACGACAACTGCGACTGGCTAATACCCAACTTATCCGCGACAGGCTGTTCAGCCACGTTAGCTCTCTGCTACTCCAAAGATTAAGACAGAAAAAATGAACCACTCACCTTCAGTTTTCTCGCACTACCAATCATTCCACTCCACATATCGTTCCCATACTGATCCCGCATGCTACTAACGAACCCATCCTTACCCTCCGCGAACCTCGACCCCGCCGGCGGCGCATCAGGACTATCGTTATACTTGCCACTCAGCAACCCAAACTTGAGGGGCGAAAACGTCGTCAGCCCGATACCAAACCTAGCGTAAAGCCGCTGAAACTCTTGCTCCACTTTCTTGCGCTCAAGTAGGTTATACTGTGGCTGCTCCACGACAGGCGCTATAAGACCCAATTGCTTCGCTATCCCACACGCCTCAGCAATCTCATCGGCCGACCACTCCGACGTACCCCAGTACATCGCCCACCCCTTCTGCTCAATCACGTGGTTGAACGCACGCACGGTTTCCTCCATGGGGGTAAGACGGTCCGGGCGGTGCGCGTACACTATATCCACGTAGTCCAGTTCCAAGCGCTTGAGCGATGCAGCGAGGCCTTCGATGATGTGCTTGCGGCTGAGACCGTGGTTGTTTACTAAAACCTCGCCGTTTGCACCGCCCCAATTTAGTTTGGTGGAGATGACTAGGTCGTTGCGTTTCCAGCCGTACTTTTTGATGGCTTGGCCCATTATTATCTCGGATTGGCCGCCGGCGTAGGACTCGGCTGTGTCGAAGAAGTTTATGCCGTTGTCGTAGGCGGTTTTCATAATGGTGAATGTGAGGTCTGGGGGGATTTTGGGTTAGGTGGGTGCGGAGATGGGATGTAGAATTTTGGTTTTCTTACCATTTTCGACGTGGCCTCCGAAACTGTTGGTGTTGGTTAGGTATGCTCAAATGGAGTGTATATAGGCTGAAAATGTAAAGGAAAAATCGACATACGTGAGCCAGCCTCCCAAACCCAGGACAGACACGTGCAAACCCGAGTTACCTAGGCGGCGGTACTGCATGCCCGTTTTACGAGGTTCCTCCCACGCCATTTTGCAATTATGTATAGAGAGTACCGGTTTGTTGATTTTCCAAAATGTTAGGTCTCAATTGTCTGTGTCCCAGCTGAAAGTAAGCGACAGCAAAACACGCCCCCAAGCAAAGCGGCTCAACTCTCAGTCATACATGCCACCCGCCGCTCAAAAGTTCTGCCGACCGAGTGCATCCCAAGCCCGAGGATCCGCCATGAAAGGAGCAGGTCACTGATGTAGCTTCTCCCGCTGTCGGGTGAGATACCTTGTTTGGGCGATTGCGGCTAACTCCACGCTGTCATGGCCGTGTTCCTTCAGCACTCGTGATGACTCGAGATCGCGGGGAAACGTCATCCACCCCCGCAATCACGACATGCAGTAGTTTTTGGGTGAGGGTGGGGCGTTGTAGATGCAGTGGGCTGGACTAGAGACGAATTTGGTAACACGGGCGGGCCTTTGCAGCCGATAAGGGAACGTCGACGGTATAGTACCGAGGGCCATCTCAGATTATCGGTGCTAAGATTCTTGGTGAGGCTAAGGCCAGAATGAAATTTTCTGGTTGATGTGTGCATAAGAGCGAAATTTGGAAAATGTGTCATGTTGTGACAGTAACAGCATCGTTGCATACCATTTTCGAAAGACTACCTCGGTACTTCCCCCTAAGTTATCATCCGAAGTTCAGACTATGTCGTAAATCTGAAATCCAACCGCTTATTGCCCTCCTCTTCACGTGCAACACTATCTGCCTGGTATACAGCCTTCTCTTCAGAAGTCATCTGTTCCCATTTCTCCTGCTTTTTCTTGTTCAAGCGTAGCAAAACCTGGCGCTGCACAAGGAACGTAACTAAACTCAGAGCACAGATAGCCACCAGCACTGAATTTCCCTGCTTGTAGTACGGGCCGTCGTACTTGCGGTAAATCTGCGAACTAATCAGAGACCCGATTTGCACAATAACATTGTACGTTGCAGCGGTAATTGCGCGCTTCTTGACATCGAACGTGTTTTCGGAGATCCAGGACGAGACCAAAGGATGAAAATACGGGTACCCGGAGATGAGCGTGATTAGGGAAAAGCGGCTCCATTCGCGGCCGCCATCGGGAAGCGTTAGAAGTGCAACTAGAAGCGGCATGATCCAGAACTCCCCGAATATGCAATGGAAAGTGCGTTCGTTGAAGTAGTCACTGGAATATGCTAGGGCGAGCATAGTGATGACCTGAAGTACGGCAGACGGAATGGTCAACATGTTACTGTTGAAAGTGCTGAAACCAAGACGTTTGAGCGTGAGCGTAAGATAGCCTTGCACGGGCGAGGCGGGGATATAGGCAATGAGGCCGATGAAGTATAGACCCCACATGGAGGAATCTGACCAGGCCGCCCGGATATCCTTGAAAGTGGCAGGCTCCTTGAGAGCCGTGAGGCCTTTTGCTGGATCGTCTCGAAGGATTCGATTCACCATGATGACCTCTTCTCGCTCTGTATACCAGCCCTTGCGCCAAAGCACATTTTTGGTGTTTGTCGGTGATGCGGGTAAATGCAGAAACGATATAATGGCGATGACAACGGTCAAAAGCCCCTCGAGAAGGAACAGCCAAAACCAGCCTGGCTTTCCACCGACGCCACGCATTTCCAATATACCGGCTGCAAGCAAGGCGGAAATGACGCGGGCTATATTGAGTGTGGACCAGAAGGCAGCCAGACGCATGGAAAGCTCCTTGGACTTGTAGAAGTAGGTCGCAAACAAGATGACACCAGGAATGAAGCCACCTTCGCAGAGTCCAATGGCTGCGCGGCCGAGATAGAACGAAGTGCGATTGTGCATCCACGCTTGACCCCAAGACGCAGTTCCCCAGGCCAGCATCAAGGTTGGGAGAACGTATTTGAATCCATATCGTTTGGTAAGACTAAATACAAACAAGAATTAGAACTAGATAAATTGGAAACCAATGGTCCTTGTACTCACAATTGCACTGGAAACTCAGCGGCAAGGAAGCATAGCAACTGAATTGTTGTGCCATTATTGTAATCATCGCTGGTCAACTTGAGATCTTCGAGGAGATTGTCCGCGAGCGCATTCGACACGTTTCCGCGATCGAGCTACTATAGTCAGTACTCATGTTCAGTCCGCAGGCGCTACGGCAACTTTCCTGCAGCCCAAACATCATAAGACAGAGCCATGTCAACAACCGGAGATCTGTTTTCCGCACAACGCGGCGTTCCTCCTCCTCGCTCCAGCTGGCATGTGAATCGAAGCGATGGTGACCTTCGTAGCTTGCGTGCGGATGGATAATGTCCGCAAGCTCCTGCCTGCCCACGTGGTCCGCTGATTTGAGCGAGTTTGCATCGATATCGCTGACTCGCGCCGTCTGCGGGTACGCCTCGATGTCGTTGCCCATTCTGGAGGGACTGCTGTTTTTCAGCTAGGAAAGAAATTTCCACAAACAGGGAGTTGCTACTGAGATCTGGAAGACGGCACACCGGCCGTTTTCACTCCTCTCCCCTATCCTTTATTTATGACATTGAAAATGGCCATGTCGCAATTGCGGCTCAGCTCGTCGCCATCACGATAATCCTACCGAGGCAGTAGATGTGCCGAAGAAGGAGGGGGGAAGCAAGGTGATGTGCATGTTGAGGCATGTCTTATTGGTGCGCCGATTTAGCCCCCGACTTAGCGTCTACAGGCTCGTGTAAGCTAGGCGCGGAGCGACTACCTAGGTAGTCCCGGAAGATACAACTATTCCGATGGCGTGCTTTAGTCATGCATACGATGGGTGTGGTGACCCGGAATCCAAGATACTAAAATGCTCTGGGCCCCTAAGCAAGCGGTCGTGGCGGCTTGGAGGCTATCGAATAATTTTGCAACCCCGAAGCTGACCCGTTAAGAGCTGGACTATGTGTGAATCAGAATTTTTGTAACCGTACAGAATGCCTTCAGTAAAGCGCGTTTGTGTCGAGGATGGTCCAGGAGATGAAGATGCCAACATCATTGGTGGTAACCCCAATGCTAGATCAAGACTGCTAAGTCCTCTGGTTTATTCTGGGTCATTGGACAGCTTCAAACATCACGACTTGACCCCAGTAATTGGGAGAGAGTTTGAAGGACTTCAGGTGACTGATCTCCTCCGATGGGGTGATGAGATGATAAAAGATCTGGCAATTACTGGTATGACCTTCATCTCTATCAAAATCGATCCCATGGCTGACACATGTTCTCAGTATCACAACGCGGCGTTGTTTTCCTCCGGAATCAGGATGTCACACCAAACCAGATGAAAGATCTGATGTTGCGCATAACTGAGCTATCAGGCTGCGTACGTAAAACCGCACTGCCAGATTAACCCCACTCTAGCAACACTGACACTTCGTTAGCCCTCATCATCCGGTCTCCATGTACACCCCCTCACAGAAGAAGGATCTGAACTAGGCGACCAAATATCCGTCATAAGCAGCGAAAAGCAAAAGAAAGGCGGTGGTCTCACCCACCAACTCTCCGACGTAAGTCGACTGGCATCCGCAGGATGGCACAGCGACATTACCTTCGAGCCAGTGCCATCAGACTACGCCATGTTGAAGATCCACACTCTACCCGCAACAGGTGGCGACACGTTATGGGCATCCGGCTACGAAATCTACGACCGCCTATCTCCAGCCATGCGAAATTTTTTGCAAAGTCTAACTGCAACGCACGATGCAAAGTTTTTCCTCGAAGAAGCTGAACGCCTGGGTAACCCGCTTCGCAAGAATTTCCGTGGTAGTCCTTTGAACCATGGCGATGCGCTCACAGCCACACACCCAGTCATACGCACAAATCGTAAGCTTTCACCCCACTCACAGCTTCCACATCTTCCCTGCTAATCACCACACCACAGCTGTAACGGGCTGGAACTCGGTTTACGTAAACAAAGGCTTCACAAAACGCATCAATGGAGTTACGAAAGACGAATCTGACCTCCTTCTTCCGTATTTGTTCAATCTGGTGACCCAGAATCATGACGCGCAGGTGCGTTTCAAGTGGCAGAAGAACGACCTGGCTATCTGGGATAACCGAAGTACATGGCATTGCGCGACGTACGATTATGAGGAGGCGAGGGCGGGTGATCGGGTTGCGAGTTTGGGCGAGGCGCCGTATTTGAATCTGGGGGGCCAGTCGAGGAGGGAGGCTTTGGGAGCGAGGTAGGCGGCGGGGCATCGTAATACTTCAAATTATGATTATTGAGAATGCTGCATTCGTTCTAGTTGTCGATATGAAGCGATAATATTTGGTCCAGCTGACCTACGAATCTTTTTGATTTTAGAGCAATATGGATACGAACGTTCAATTTGCCATGGGACCAATCTCCTTTCTTAGCTATCCCCCAAACATCACATCTAAACAACACCTTCCAACCCACAAACCCAACTCTCAGCTTTCTTCGTATCCCCTACGCCATCCCACCTACTTACATTCGGATACACGCAATGCGTCCTCTGGCTCTCCACCACACCCCCTTCGAAATCATCATCCTTGAATTTAGTCCCGATCAAATGCTTAGGCGCAATCCCATTTTCCACCCAGTTCACCATGGCCAACAACACATTATGCTGTGTATTATTGAACTCTTCGCCCGACGGACGAACCGGCATTGGCTGCCCAATATACCACTGCCCGATTCCGCCGGAACAATGTCCCATACCGGGAACGTAAAACAAGCGGTAGAAGTCGTGCATTTGGTCGATTGAAAAGTTTAGCGCTTCGGCGGTGCGCTGGAAGGTACGGGATGCAAGACCGGACATGACTGTGGGGTCGGAGCGGCCGTGGTATGCGATGAATTTTCCACCGCGGGCGTGGAAGGCAGAGACATTGTGGGAGACGCCGCCGGCGATGTTAATGCCGCCTGGGTTGAGGTTGGCGGCGAAGTCCATGTCCTTTGTGGTGAAGTTGAGTGAGGAGAATGATGTGTCATTGTATACTGCGCCACGCCAATAGTCGTCTACGAGGCCGTAGGCAAGCTTAGGTATCATCGTGCCGTTTACGACTGCTGTGTTTGCGGAGAAAACACCGGTTGGGACGCCGACTTCAAAGGATGGGTAGACGATGTTACCGGAGCTGTTGGCGAGGGGTTGGTAGATTTCTCGCACCGTGTTTACTTGAGCGGGAGTTAGACAGACAGAGGCGTTCAGGACGCCGGTACCGCAGGACAGGATGGAAGGATCGAAGTTGTGGAGCGTGGGGTTATCGATGATGCCGTCTTTGACGCCGTCTAGGGAGTCCAGAAGCGCTACTTGTGTTGCTACTATAGCTGCCCACTGCGTTGCAGTAATATAGCTGGGGGAGCTCAGATTGGGCCATCCGAGACGGCGCGCAAGAACGGCTTTCGAAGCAACAATATGAAGCCAATCTACAGCCATTGCTCCTGCCAAGATGCCGTCGAAGTCATCGGGATACATGATTGCCTCTTGGAAAGCTTGACGACCCCCGGTACTGCATCCGGTGTAGTAGTTGTAGCTCGCCTTTCGACCGTAGTATTTCTCTACAACCTGTTTTCCCGTCACTGCTTCAACATGAATGGCCCTGTATCCAAAGTCGTTGATATTCTCTGGCTTGTTGAGGAAGAAGTCGTATCCAGCTTGTCCATCATGGCCACCGTTTGTGCTAAACGTAGCAAAGCCGAAACTACTAGCTCCTTGAAGATTGCCATAGTCTATGCAGCCTCCTGTTCCACCGTTACCTGTCGCCAGAAAGCGTCCATTCCAATCATCTGGCAGCCATGCTTCGATTCGGTCGGTACTGGAAGAGCTAGTGGTGACGTTCAAAACCGCGCGGCACATATCCGTCGTCACGCTTGCTTTGTCGTAGGTTGCGGCATTTGCGCACGAAGGAACGAGGTCCGGTAACGAAATGCTGGTACCGGCGGTGAAGTATGCTGTGTTGAGGACGGTTACGCCAGGTAGGGTACCTAGTGTCGTTGCCAGCTGCTGGCACGCACCCATTCCGTACGCCATAGTTAATGCAAAGGTGAAGATATCGTTCCTTGGGCAAATCCAGGAGCATTGTGGTTCATTCATGACTGCTATTTATTTGCCTAGATGATCTCTGCCAAGGCATTGGCTCGTGCAGCTCGCTTTCTCTGCCACCGGAGATATCTCCTCTCCCAATGTTCTGTTGTGCCATCATCGTGCGTTGTACATATTGTGGGGGTATGCGGAGAAATTGAGTCGAAAGAGACGCTAATGCACACGAGTCAGTACACTTGTTCATCTATTCGTTCGTTGATATGCTGGTGTTGCCGGGAAAACCTCGGTTTCCCAGCTAATAGTTAACGTGTCCGTGCACCTCGTGCACGGATTCATCTCGTGCACGCTGAACACCAAACGCGCGTCTCAGCGTCATAACTTCAACGCGCTATAACTCAACAACCATGGCTCCAATTGATGATGCGATTGCAGATTTAGAGTCGCAAGAACCCGGAGAAAAACTTGTATTAGCAGAGTTTGCGAGGAAATGGGGTGTCAGCCGCGCAACTCTATCGCGGAGGTGGAGGCGCGTGACAGGGCCTAGGAGTAATGGATACGCTCAGCAGCAAGCTATCAGCCCACAACAAGAGCTAGAGCTTGTGAGATATATCAAAACGCTCACAGAGAGAGGCCTTCCTCCCACAAGAGAGATGATCAGGAATTTCTCATCAGAAGTAGCCCATCAGCAGCTCAGCGAGAGCTGGGTTACTCGCTTCATCAACCGACACGAGATCTATCTCATCTTAAAGTGGACCAGCGCCATGGATCGTACGCGCCACCTGGCTGATTCTGAGTCAAAGTATAGACTCTACTTCGAGCTGCTGCATCGAAAGATCACCGAATACCACCTTGAGGCTCGAGATATATACAATATGGATGAGAAGGGCTTCTTGATTGGCTTGATAGGCAGAAGCAAGAGAATATTCAGCAGGCGTTAATAGGAGAAGAAGGAGGTTCGAGCATCTTTCCAGGATAGATCACGCGAGTTTCTGACAGTCCTGGCCTGCTGCTGCGCCGATGGGAGCTCGCTGCCCCCAAGCCTTATCTACGCATCTGCGAAAGGAGCTATACGATCAAGTTGGGTAGAGGATATTAAGGCAGGAGAACATGATATCTTTGTCTCATCATCTCCGACAGGCTGGTCAAACAATAACATTAGTCTAGCTTGGCTTGAGCAGGTGTTTGATCGCTGTACACAGACTTGTCATTAAGCAAATCAAACAAACTTTGGACGCTGATTTGATTTGTTTGTACAAAACTTAAGATTGTATTTGAGTTGTTTAGTTTGATAGTGTTTTAGGAGGCCGTTTGTTTGAAAGTTTGATAGATTTGATACTGTTTAGGTGCTGATCTAATCGTATATCGTATATATTACTAAGCTTCGCTGTCCCACTTGCATATTTCGTATATTGCAGCTACCTCAGCGTCAGTTACATCGCCTGAGTTGTAATCAGATGGAGGCTTAAAGCCAGCGTCGCGCCAGCTTCGTATACACTGTATTGCTGCAAGCAGTTGTGACCCAATTTTGCGTCGCCTTGGCTCTAATAAATCACCGAGCTCGCTGAACAGCCGCTCGCACTCACAACTTGAGGCTGGTATTGTTAATATATCGATCGCCATACGCGCTAGGTTAGGATACTTTGGGCGTAGGCTTATCCAATAGCTAACAGGATTACTACCTTGTTCGAACTGCTCCTGCGTCCAGCGGAGTTCAAACCGTCGCCAACGCTCCAGCTCATCCATCTCTGTCACCTCAACAATGCCATAAGGCTCCGCATTAACGAGCGCGTTGATGGCGTCGTTGATACCACTTGAGAGCCGCACTGGTGGGCGACTTTGGCGCTGTATTTGCGGCTTATAGAACGCCCAAAGTTGTTTCAACCCAGCGTTGTTTGCCTCAAGCCAGCTCGGTTTGTCGCGCCAGCTGTTCTCACAGTAGTTCTTGTAGTATGGGTGGAGGCAGGTAGCGGCAAAGTATGCGGGTGATTCGTCGAGCTTAGTGTAATACGCGTTAAGCTTTGCCCAAGCTGCGCGTAGGTTGATAGGAAGGTGATCTTCTGGCGCGCTATTGGCATTATAGTCGACGCTTTCGTGGTTTTTAAGTAGCTGCTCGTACACGGCAAGTACAGCTTCGAAGACAGGTATAACCTCGTATATCGCGCCGAAACGGCCAGCTTTACCGCGAGCTTCAAGCCGTTTTGTCGCCTCCTTTAGCGGCTCCAACACTGATATATACTGGGTTATTACCGCCCAATCGTCAGCCGTAAGCCCATTAGATCTCATCCAAGCTGGTACTTTAGTGAGCTTATTGTTACGGCTACGCGCGTACGCGTCGGCGCCCATCGTCCTTTCGATGTGGCTTTGGGCGTACTCATCAACGGCGTTATGGAGTTTTGCGGCGCGTACAAAGGTGTCGTGAAAGCTGTTCCAGCGCGTGACGACTGGCTTTACCGGCTCGAGTATTTCCTGCTTTTGGTCGGGAGCCTTAGCGTTAACACGGCGCTGGCAATCGGCAAAAAGATCGTGTTGTTGCGGTGTTTGGATGTAGTTGATGATATCGATTAGTACACCAAGCGGACCTTGCTGCCGCCATTCTTGTAGGTAGGCTGCCTCTGTTTTGTGCTCGTCCTGATCATTATCGTACGCGTCCTTATCAAAGCCGAAGATAATCATCTGTCCGACTAAGTTAAGTGTGTGAGGGCCGCAGCGGAGGCGGTGATGGCTTGCTGTAAATTCAAAGCGTTGGGCGAGTTTGGTGACGGCGGTGTCATTAGCGTACGCGTTGTCGAGCACAAAGTACCCAAGCTGGCTACGTGTTATACCGAAGACATCGATTATATTGCCAACAACTTCAGCTATCCTCTCGCCCGTGTGGGCGCCCGTAAGCTGAGGCAGCGCGATAGGTAGGTCCCTGATAGTGCCGTCGGCGTCAGCAAAATGAGCAACAACTCCAAAGAAGCCGCGCTTGCCGCCTTTTGTCGTCCAGCCATCGAAGCTTATATGGATTTTACTAATAGCCGACGAGAGCATCTGAACAACCTGCGGCTCCATATAGCGATACAGCCTCATCACGAAGCTAGCTACACTGTTGTGACTTACCCACAGCGCGTCAGCTGCCTCCGGGTTGGCAAACTCTATCATCTGCCTAAACGCAGGCGTTTCGAACTCGCGGAGAGGGTGGTTATTGTCGACAAGCCACGTAACAGCGGCGTATCGAAAGCGCTGTACGTCGAAGTTTCCGAGCTCGTTAGCGACGCCTTGAGGTACATCGACACCGCCCTCGGTCATCATCTTAAGCGTCGTTTGGCCTCGCGGTAGTGTAATCGAATCCAGTTTGCCCTTGCGATCGTAGCCGTGGCCAAGTAGCTTCTGCGCGAGGTGGTTGATAGCGTTACTGGTCGACTTTGTAACCTCTGGATAGGCGCAAAAGATCTTACGATGATGGCAGTATTTGCAAACAAAGAACGTACGATGAGGCTCACGGAGAGAGGCAACGCGGTAACCGTACTGATATACCCAACTTTTGTTGCGCTTCAACGTACGCAGCGGCTTCGTAAAACGCGGTAAACGCTTCCAATCAATGCCGTCAAAGTTGTCCGTAAACTCGTCATCAAAGCCAGTATCATCCCCGCCTTCGATAGCCTCACTTGTAGCCTCCGTAGCAGCCCTACTACCCTCGGCCGGCGGTTGTATAGTAGCTTCTGGTATAGCGTCGCGCAACTGCGACTCGAACGGCGCGTCTTCGGTGGCCTGGCTTGCTGCAGCAGCTAGGGCTTTACGTGGCGAGGTGCGGATAGACAGCTCAGGCTGCGAATCGTCCATCAGGATAGGCTGCGATGCACTGCCTTTAGCTGTTTTGGCGCGCTTGTGGGGGCCGTGGGGGCCGGGGGTGCCCTCGGCGGCGCGTTTTAGGTTACGAAGCGGCATTTTCGGCGTGTTGGGCAACGAGAAACACTAAAACGTGCTGTAGAGACGGTAGTGTAGCTGCAAAAGATGGCTAACAGCGATATAGAAGATGGGAGATGGGATATAAGATAGCGGTCATCGACGGCTAGCGACGCTCGTGTAGTTATATGATGACTAAGCTAGATGCAACACAAGAAAACTATCGCGAAATTGCTACCTCCGCTATCTCAAAAACATCATTAAAGTCGATCTTAAAGCACCTTAGGACATCATCTATAGAACAGCTCGCTATGTAATATTAGTCAAACAGTCAAACAAACTAAACAAATTTCGATCGTACGTTTGATTTGTTTGTATATTTCTATAGGCAGCGTTTGGTTTGTTTAATTTGCTTATAGTCAAGCAAATCAAACAAACTATTCAAACGCGTTTGCTTAATGACAAGTCTGCAGGCTGTACAAAGCAGCGATCAGGGAGATGGAGATTACTCATCCTTGATGGCCATGGATCTCATGTCACGATGGAGTTTATCAAATACTGCGATCGCCATAGGATTCTCCTTATGATCCTTCCTCCCTATTCGACTCACACGCTCCAGCCGCTCGATGTAGTGCTATTTAAGCCACTCTCTCAAGCCTACTCCAACGAGCTCACCAATCATCTCCATAAGGCTTAAGGCCTCGTCCCAATCAAGAAAGGAGACTTCTTCCTACTCTTCTAGAGCGCATGGATATCCTCCTTCACAGAGAGCCTTATATTGAAGGCCTTCGAAGCCACTGGGATCTGGCCGATGGATGCTAACGTTATCCTTCGTAGATTTGCTAGCACGCTAGAAGCTGAGAGAAGCTTATCGTCAGGGCTCTCTGATCATGATTGGAGAAAGATAGATCGATTAGTTCGAGCTGCTGTCACTGATAGCCATCAGTATGAGGCAAGAAAGCTGCGTTCAAGCGTCCACCATCTCTCTGTTTAGAATGAGCTTTTAAAACATAAGAATAAGGGCTTAAAGGAGGCTCTTCAACACAAAAAGAAGCACAGGAAGAAGGGCAAAGCTCTTGACCTTCAACAGCGCCAGGAGTATCACGGTGGCTCTGTCTTCTGGTCTCCTCGCAAGTTGCATGAGGCTTAAGCTAGAGAAGCAGTACGGGAGCGAGATCAGACGGAGGAGAAACTCCAAAAAGCATGGGCCAAGAAGCAGCGTAAGGAGGCTCAACTGCAGCGTCAAGTTGAGCTCGAGGAGAAGCGTGTAGAGAGGCAGAGGCTCAAAGAGATGAGGGAGGTTAAGCGAGCTGAGAAAGCAGCTGAACGCGCGCGCAAAGTTGAAGCTCAACACTAGAAAAAATCTATCCAACAAGCTCAACAACGCAAGCGTAAAGCCTCACAAGTACTCTCACTAAGTGACAAGCGTCAAAAACGCGCTGGCGCTGCTCACGCTGGTGTTCAAGCTGGAGATGAGCTATCTGCTACTCCAGCCAAAGTCACATCACGTGGCCGCAACGTCAACCTCCCACAAAAATATAGATAGTACAAGTTGATCGCAAGCATCTGATTACTGCTATACTACGTTTTTATTAATATTGAGCTATTATGTGGCGTTGTACAGCCTCATTTTTGAGATCGCTAAGATAGTGTTCGGCGTGCACGAGATGAATCCGTGCACGAGGTGCACGGACACGTTACGTTTTCTAGCGCTCGCTTCCTCACTTCCGATGATCATGGGGTCGACAGCAACAGCCGATGCTAACGTTCTTGTAGTAGTACATGAAAGCAAGGATATCATTGCATCTAGACCTTACTATTTCCATATCCGAATATGTCAAGACAGATACTTATCTATCCAAAGAGACAACGTTAGCCCTGCTCGTAGCATATCACGTGCAATTGTCATATCGGCCAACAACCAGACTAGTATACTTCCTGACGTGAGTTTCGCCCGAAACTACTCCTTGAACATGGAGATAATAGCTTTTGACAGCGGCCAATCTATAAGATATCCTGTTAGTACACGCAGAAACTCACACAAAAGACATGACTTACCAAACTGTGGCCGATCCTTCACCCTCTTCGTCAACAAGATCTCATCACCAGCCTTGATTTCCTTACCCCAGTCCTTCTTCGCTGTATACGAGTACTTTCCAAATACAGGATTGTACTTGAACCCCTTATCCAATCGCCGATCAGCTGCCAACTTCTTCCATACCAGTCCCTCTTCGCCTTCCGCCTTCTTACCGGTATTGTAGTCCACAGTAATGGCCTGGCATCGCCAACATGTGCTACCGAATTCCATTTTAATGTCCCCTGGAAATATGATTTGTGACCAGTAGTCTTCATCGTACGGTGCGGGACTACCGGATACGATGATATTTGGGCGGAACTTGTGGATATCCATTTGCTTGCCGTCCCCCAGACGCGAGCTCACTTCATCGTTGGATTCATTGGTTACAACAAGGTATTGGCCAATATCATGAAATGTGATGGTCTCGGGTGGTGATATCAGAGGAGACGGGAGGAGCTTGCGCAGAGGCGCTAGATATGGATATTTCCTTGCCTGTGCCATGGCACTGTTTGGCGCACCGGAACCTAGGACTACACGCGAATTATTTCCGATGTACATCATCTTCGTCTCGAATCCCATGTACTTTGTGAGGAACTTGGATACGTCGTCACCCATGTCGTACGCATCTGTCGCACTGCCATGGAGATCGAGATGGACCTTCTCAAGATCCTTGACGTTTGGGCGGAGTGGAATGCGGAGCTGGTGCTCTGAACCGGTCCACTCAAGATGTTCTGGGTGCGGGTTCTCTGGACCAACGCGTGTTATGATGATGTTCTTTCCATCCTTGCCTTCTTCGAGTATTTGTGCAAAGAGCACCATCTGCAGATGGAAGCCGCTGTATATTGTCTCCCACATAGTTATCTTCTTGGTCGCGGGGTCACGATGGATCTTCTGCAGACAAAAGGTTCGGTCATCCTCGAAGCCTTGGGGCCCAATCTTTCCAGAATTGATCCGGATGCCACGGAATCCTTTGATGGGGTAGTGCCATAGCTGCGATGCTATCAGTCCTTATGCTCAATGGACTAGAGGCGCCTACTAACCTCTTCAATCTTCAACTTCACATTCGCATCTTCGGTAACAAACCGGGCAGGAACTTTCCTGTTCTTGATATCGTAGATTAGAAGGGCAAGTCCGAGGGTCGCGACTGCAAGGATACCCGCCCATTGCAACTGGAGTGAATTCATCCTGAAACACAGCTCCTACTCTTGCAGGTGCAAGAAGAACGATGTCGACGGCTGCCGCATACTTGTAGAAGCTGCCGCACTCTTATCGTACCACCTCCCCGCATCAGATAAGGGCAAAAGGGGGAGCTCGGCTCCGATGTTACACAACCCCGCTACTTGGTACTTTGGAGCCACCCAATCATCACAATATTGGACTTGGTACCGACCGAGCTGAACGACTATAAGCCTTTATAAGGTTTAGAAGTTCCATTGGTCGAAAACGCTGACTAAAGATTGACATTGCATGCGTCGACAGCGATCAGCTTGTACCGGTATGTACGTCATACGTAGGTAGATGTAGTCGGGCCGAAGCCCGACATCGGTACTAGCAATGTCTGAGAGAGAGGCGTTTCGGGAAAATCCCAGCAATTCAAAAGACAATTGTTTCGAATAATGCTGGCAACAATCTATTAGAGGTCGATAACAAAAACTGTTCAACAAATATATGCCTGAATAGCGCCATCTAGTAGCAATATGACTCCTGAGCAGCCTATTGTTAGACCAACAAATACCCCCCTCCCATATCGTGACTTTACACATGTTTGGTAAGATAAACTATGCATCTCATCCTAAACGCCAAAAGAAAGAATGTTCCACAAACGCAGCAGGGTGTAGTGATCTACACTGTACCGAGATGAAGGCTATGTAACTTAGGTGGGCATTGCCATGATCCATCCACCACCACCACCACCTTTACTACCCCCCGCGGGAGGTTTCTTGGTCGCAGCGGAAGCTCCTCCCGATGCTCTGCTACCACTTTCTTTTGGTGCGCGCTTCTTAACTCCTCCGAAACTCTTGCCAAAGCTGCCAGATGCTCGCTTGCGAGAAGGACCTTTCTTCCTGTATCCCGACCCTGATGCTTTAGAGCCACCTCTCGCTGCTGGTGCTTTTGCTGTTTTGGTGGACGGGGCTGCACCGCCACCGAGCTGAGTATATCGACTATTGAAGTCGGCGACATCGGGGTTCTGAAATTGGCTAAAGTGATGGCTTGTCCGTACCACACCATCATCGTCATCATCTTCATCAATCTCGCCATAATCAGATTCTTCTTCAAACTCCTCTGCAGGTGGCACAACCTCGTCTTCTTCTTCGCTGCATAGATCCACAACGAGCCGATGATTCTGATCATCAACCTCTTCGTCATCATCATCATCGACGATTTCATGAACGACCCGCCGTTGAGCTTGACGATTTCGAAGAAGCGGGTTTCTCGGAATTGGTACCCCGTCCCCGTAAAAGCTCCTAGTGTTGTTGATCAGAGCCAAGAATTGCGTGCCGTAGAGATCAACCATCTCGGGCCTGATACCTGGAATGGTCTTCATCTCATCCAGATTACGTGGTAAGTCAAGTCCCATCTCTCGAAGTACAGTGTCCGTGAAGATCGCCTCGCGATGACCTTTCTTCTGTTGGATGGTCTGTCTCAATTGCTTAGCACCAGTCGTGAAATCATGTAATACATCGTGCTGGAATTCGGTGAGCTCTGCAGTCCGTTGGTCTGAAGTAATGGGTGTCCCGAGTCCCTTCGCCTTCGTTGCTCTCGATGGCTTAGCAACGCGTATGGGCGCGAAGCCGTCGTCCCCAGCATCATCAACGACAAAGTCGTCGGTTTCGTAACCACGTGTGGTCTTCTTACGGGTCGGGTGCCGAGGAACGTCAAATGCGTCCTCGTCATCATTGAGAGCGAATGATCGGATCTTCCGCTTTGACCCCCGCACAGGAGAGGGGACATTGGTCGATGGGAACTGCGTACGTTGCTTCTTCGTCTTCTTAACAACGGGTGCTTTGGCACGAGCTTTCCGAGGTGAAGAGCGAACTTGCAACATCAATTGCTTTTTCTTAGTCTCATAGTCATTTCGTGTCGAGGCAGGCTGCGATGGTTAGTACATAGTAAACAGATCAGCACAGGCATACGTACATGTAGGTAGTTGGTCGCGAATCCAACCTTGTTTACCTTGCTTTTTTCCTTGAAAGCCCCTGCATCAAGTAGATACTGGAAGATGCGCTCATTGTCACCTCGTTCTAGGTCCTTGCCGTAACCCCATCCATACTCTTCGAGTCCGGAGCTCTTGATTTTGGCACCGCCAGCACCACGGAAAGCATCCACGCACTGATGCATAGTGACATTGTCTTCGTGTACCCGACTCACAAGCTTTATGGCCATAGAAGCGTAATCTGTCAGATCTTTCGTGACGAATGTGGTATCGGAGCGGCAGTTGTCGCAGGTGTTGTTGCACTTGGAGGCATCGAATGCTTCACTAAAGTATCCGAGCACTTGAGCGCGTCGACAATCAGCCTTGTTTTCGCAGTATTGTACCACAGTTCGTAGCATGTCGTTCAGTCGTTGCTTTTGTTCTCTGCTGCCTTCACCTTCATCAATCATCTTGCGTAAGATTCTCGAGTCGGCATATAAATAGTACAAGTAGCACTCAGAGCGCTTGCCATCACGGCCAGCTCGTCCAGTTTCTTGATAGTAGCCTTCCAAACTCTTCGGGAGCGAGTGGTGAATGACATATCGCACGTCGGCTTTGTCGATGCCCATGCCAAAGGCGATTGTAGCCACAATAACGTGGTACTCATTCTTTTGCCACTTGCGTTGGACGTCAGACCGATCCGCAGAGTCCATCCCTGCGTGATAATGATAGGCACGGATACCCGTCTCTGACAACTTCTGCGCCACTTGCTCGCAAGTCTTCCGTGATAAGCAATAGATGATGCCGGATTTCCCAGTATATTTCTCTTTAATGAGGTCTGCAATGCTGTCGATGACGCCTCTGCCTTTCGGTAGCACCTCATAGGACAGGTTGGGACGGTTGAAGCTTTGAGAGTACTGGCGGCAACCTTGAATACCGAGATTGGCTACTACGTCGGTACGGACAAGCTGGGTCGCAGTTGCGGTCAACGCAATGACAGGTACTCCAGGAAATTGGCGGACAACATCTCCAAGTGCCTTGTAGTCTGGTCGGAAGTCATGGCCCCACTGGCTGACACAATGGGCTTCATCAATGACGATCCTGGCAAGGTTTCCTCCCGAGTGCAACTGCTGAAAGGCACTGATCATTCTCTGGTTCTTGCTGAGCATCTCAGGCGTTACGTAGAGAATTTGGATGAACTGCTGGGGATCCCGCTGGCGGAGTGCGTCCATGATCATGTTCTTCTGAGCTGCGGTCGATTCACCATTGATTAGGAACGCCTGCATCCCAAAACGATTTCTACAAGCATCCACCTGGTCCTCCATCAAACTCAAAAGGGGAGACACTACGATGGTCACGCCTCGCGTCTTGCCTGAAGCAATCACCGAAGGCAGCTGGTAGCAGAGTGATTTACCACCCCCAGTGGGCATTAGCACAAAGCAGTGGTCTCCGGATAGCGTGGTGTTGATGGCTTCTAATTGTCCTGGTCGAAACCCTCGGAGACCGAAACGGTGAAGAAGGGCGGTTCTCAGATCTTGGGACCAGGGGAAGTTCATGCCAGGGTGGTTCTTGGCGGGCATGTTCAGCTGCGCCTTCTTCGGTGATGGGGCCTGATTTTGCTTTGGCTGGAGCTTATTTATCGACGTCTCGCGGAATACCTCACGGGTAGAAATCGGAACACTGGTGTCCGCCCGTTCACCCCTCCAGTCAAAGGCACCCGGCGCATGGTTCTCGATGTTGCTGATCTCATGGAGGAACTCCTCGTCATCATCATCTCCATATTCGTCTCCACATTCTTCATCGTCGTTTATCTCGATGGGTTGGTGCAGCTCGCCCATGTTAGTAGTAAAAAAACTCTCGTCTTCCTCAAAATCCAACTCTCCGAAGTCATCCGGTTCATATTGAGGGGCAACTGGCTTCGGCTTCTTCGGAGATCGTCTGCGCTCCGGCGTCTCTGGTATTCGATGAGACCGCTCTCTTGACTTCAGGCTTTGTTTTCCTGCTACGCCCTCATCGGAACGAGTGCGAACGCCCAGGTTTGGTGGTGGCAGCGGGGAAGCGGCTACCTGCTCCTCTGCAAAACGGACGCCGCTAGCTGATGTCCAGACTTCTTCGACAGCGGTCTCGTTAAGCTTGGCGTATTGTGTCTGGGGAACACGACTAGGTCCTACCTCTCTTGAAGCCTGGCGTGGACGAACAGGACTTGTCTGCGTTGATTGTATAACTACGTGTCGACTGTTGTGAAACTCGGATTTTACGACAGGCTGTGCCTGTGGCTTAATGGCTGCCAAATCCAGTAACTGATGCATGTGGATCAAAACATCCTCGATCATCTTGAAAAGTCTGCTGAGGGTTTCACCGTCTGCTGCGTCAAACTGACCTATGTTGAGGTCATCCTCAAGTTTCTGCTTGACCCTTTGGCGCTGAGCCACAAGATCGTCATGTTTGGACTTTAATCTAATCAAATCCTCGACTGCCTCTTTCCGTGAACGTGCGCGTTCCATCCTCTCCTGCTCCTGAGGATCTGGTTTGCCAAACTCCGACAAGTGTGCGACGAAAGCAGCCCGAGCATTGTCCCATGCCGAGCTCGCAGCATTGAAATGCTTCTGTAATCTTTGGCCCTCTGCGACCAAAAAGGTATTCATCGAGCTCCGAATGGCGTCCCTTCTTTCCTTGGAAAGCTCCGAGGCGCCGTTTGTAGATGCACTATGCGCGGGCGTTGCTATAGCCACAGATTTGGCCTTCTTCGGGGACTGCAACTTTGCTGGTGTAGGCATGGCATCCTGCAGGGGTTGGTACGGACTTGGACTTCGCGCGGGTTTGGAAGGCGACCGTATGGGAAGCTGTGTCTGACTCGCAGGTTTGAGAGGGCTGGGTATGGGTGTCTTTTCACGTAGGTTCTTCTTCGTGGGAGTCGGCGTCTCAATATCCATGTCATCAAATCCACCAAATTCTTCATCTTCAGAGTCCATGACTGTACGCCCGACGCTCTTAGTGACAGACTTTTGCGAACTGATTGTGCTCGTTGTCGCGTGTCCCATAGTGACCATTTTGTTCTTCTGCGGTGAAGGACTACATGTTTGCCTCCCCATCTTGCGAGCTGGTGCATTTTCCGAGGGTACCCGGCTCAGAGGCTTGCGCTTGCGGCGTTGTGTAACTGTCGCCTGTTTCGCCTCTGCCATTTGACGCTCTTCCTCTTCCAATTGTAACATAGCTTCTATATCGTCGTCATCGACTGTCGTCGTTTGTTCGACATTTCGACGTACACCTCCGATGATAGTCGAGTAAGGAGGGGGCGGGCTGTCGGGAGCCATGATCATATCGTCAATATCAGGAAAGTCGTCATCGGCCAGCTCCGGGCTGAGCGCAGCGGCTTTCCGGGCGGGTCTCGAGGATTCTGTGTGTCGCATATCTGCCTCAAACTCTTCACTTTTCCGCTTCCGGGCCTTAGGATTGCGCATCGGAACCGGCGAAGAGCGACTCTCGTCGTCCCCGGTGAGGTCAATAGAATCCACATCGAGTGACTCGAGATAGTTGAATCTTGGGGTCGCATTTTGGGCGGCGGAAACGCTTCTGGGCACCGCATCATGCCTCGTGCTGGCTGGGCGATCCTCGACATTTACCCTGCTAGTTGTCCTGGCTTCTGTTGAAGAAGACGCATGTTCTGGCAACCCCGCTAATACAAGTCTAGACTTCCCACTCGCTGGCGTACCCCTCAGTCTTGCCATATCAAAATTCGCGACTTCTGTTCCTGATGGGTTGTGTATATCGATAGTCTTGGTTCGTGAGAGAGGGCGGGGTGGAATAGGGCGGGCGGCGGGGTGTGCTGGTGGGGGCGATGGTGCGATGGCAGATTCCGGTTCATTGTATTCTACTTGTTCGCCCAAGGAAGAAGAGTTCTGCGGTGGAATTGTCGCTGAACTCGTAGGAACCGCGTCAGGGTTGTAGGCAACGAGCGATGTTGCGGCCGGAATGAAAGGTTTCTCGGCGATCAACCACTTGAGATGCTTGCTAAGATTGTTCTGAGGCATGAGAGCGTCGCATTGTTGATTTGAGGGTCCGCATCGATAATCTACGCGTGGGATTGCATGGGCGGCACGGTTCTATGGGCGTAGTGGTGGCGATGTCATTGATGGTGTTGTTCGCCGTGTTGTGCTAAGTCCGAACGCGCCGCGCTAGCGCCCAATCACGTGCGCGTCGTGTCTATCACACGAATGGAGCATGCAGTGCTACGAGCCGCTCCTGGTGGGCCTTGAAGGCCTGAAGGTCTGGCCTCTGGTTGATTGTCAGCCGTCCTATATCACCGCTTCGATAGTTGTACTCTCATCATAGCCACCCCCTTGAACACCTGGGCATCTTCACAATCACGAGAACCTCATCCTCAACTCTTCTTTCTTGCTGGAATATACTAGGATTCTGAATGAAACTGTGTATCTATCATGGAGGCCCCTAATCAGGCAAGCTTCGACAAGCTTGCTACTGCAATTGCAAGCATACACTTCCAGTCACCACCTGAAGATGTCCTCCCCTCTGCAGCTACGTTGAGCAGTGCCCGCTCCAAGCTCCAGACTCATCTCCCCACTCAGGGTATCGGTCTTGAAGAAAGCATACGACACGTGCAAGAAGATCTCGCCCCGGCCTTCAACGCCTCTTCTCGCTCCCCAAACTATTACGGCTTCGTGACTGGTGGTACCACTCCAGCAGCAGCTCTTGCCGATAATCTAGTGACAGCCTACGACCAAAATGTACAAGTTCACTTGCCAAACGAGACGATTGCTACAGACCTGGAGGATCGGGCCCTCTCATTACTCTGCGAGCTTTTGAACTTTGACGCGGCGCAATGGCCGCATCGCATCTTCACTACGGGCGCAACGGCGGCCAACGTGCTAGGTCTGGCTTGCGGCAGAGAGTTTGTGATTGCTGAAGCGTCAGCGCACCGCACAGATGCGGAGAATAGTATTGGCGAAGTCGGCATCGTGGAGGCGATGCGCAAAGCTGGTGTCGACGAGATTCAGATCTTGACCACCGTTCCACATTCGTCGCTGGCTAAAGCGGCGGGAATTCTGGGCCTCGGACGCACGAGTGTCAAATGTCTGGGCCGATCAGATGCGCCACACAAATTCGACATTCAGCTGCTCAAGAAGTCTCTCGAACGGCCACACGCCGCGTCAATCGTTGCCATCTCTGCATCGGAAGTCAACACAGGTGCCTTTGCGACCTCGAGTTTGGAAGAGATGCAAGATATTCGGAAGCTATGCGATATGTACGGTGCATGGATACATGTCGACGGCGCCTTCGGTCTCTTTGGTCGGATCCTGTCTTCTTCTGTTCACTCTTCCATCATCCAAGCTTGCACTGGCTTAGAGCTAGCAGATTCGATAACAGGCGACGGACACAAACTTCTCAATGTGCCTTACGATTGTGGCTTCTTTCTCTCCAGGCACCGTAACATTGCTCAACATGTGTTTCAAAATCCCAATGCCGCCTACCTTGCCTCAGGCAATAGTGCTGATTCTATCATGTCGCCATTGAATGTTGGTCTGGAAAACTCAAGACGATTCAGAGCTCTCCCAGTTTATGCTAGTTTAGTTGCGTATGGCAGAGATGGTTATCGGGACATGCTGGAACGACAGATTCGACTGTCACGCGGAATCGCGGAGCACATTCTGGAAAGTAAGGATTACGAACTATTGCCTCGCAGCGACGCGTCTAGGGAAGACCTGTTGAGTGGCATTTACATCATCGTACTCTTCCGCGCGAGGGATGAAGAGCTCAACAAGCAGCTTGTTGACAGAATCAAGGCAACGCGAAAGATCTACGTATCAGGCACTTCATGGGAAGGAAAGCCAGCATGCAGATTCGCTGTATCGAACTGGATGACAGATGTAATCCGAGATTTACCAATAGTCAAACAAGTCTTGCGGGATGTTGCGTTGGAAAAGAATGGTAGATAGCTTCATCTCAGTTATCCCAGATATATCCGCAAACGGTAGGAGCTATTTCACATGTCCTCCATCTTGTATACCTCATACGCAGGCTCTTCATAGGGGTGGGCTCTGGTCTTCTCAGCATCTGCTATTCACTGTGGGACATTCAGCGTAGAGAAGAAAAAACTCACTTTTTCAGCGCTTCAACAGCCCTGATAGCAACATTGCGTCCCATGCACATGACTTCAACGCGATACTCGTCTACCTCGTCAAGTTCGCCAACCTTACCGAACTGCGTGCCTGCTATGAGCCTCGTGCAATATCTATGATGATGGGTATCTGCATACATGCGGGTTAGCAGCATCACCAGGCCTGAATTGGCCTGTTCCCCTGCTAGTGAAGCAGCACTCGGTGTAGCCTCCCGGACCAGGAAAGCGGCCTGCACCGGCGCCAAAGACGGCAGTTTTGCAGGCGTTGAGGGCTGAAGGAGGAACGAAGAAGACTAGCTTGAACTTTTGCAGCGTTGATGCCATGATGGTGACTGTAATGTGACAATGGAGTAATGAAAGTCAGCAAAGGTGCTCAAGGCGGGGCTGTATCAGTGCAGATGCCTCATTTGGGTTTGAGCATTAGAACTTTGGGAAGGTCGGGAGGAAGTGCCGCTGCCTGCGCATGTACCGTACGCGGTTGAATGCAGGCCTCATATCGGTTCAGACGCAGGGCTTAATGAGCAGCAAGCAGAGGTGAAAGACTCAATTGAGGGATGGAGTGAAGCTGGGGTTTGTCGGAGAAACAGCATGTCGAGCTTGGTGGACGAAGTAGTGGATGGCGCTTGCACGGCGGATCGTATTGCACTCAGTCACGAGCAGTGTACCATGTGTCTCATTTCCTAATGTCCGGAATAATATGTGAAGACGCGTGATCAAGTTAGGTAGGGAGGCGTGCGGCGGGCTTTAAACGCTTGTGCCGACGCCAACCCCGCGACACGTCAAATAGCAAGCGTGCCTCTCTCCATTCTCTACGCCGCTCCGTCAGTTTACTCTGGCGCTGGTCTACGGCCAAGTCGCAATCGCACATTGTACACCTGCACCGCTGCAACATCGCCCCCAAGTACAGCTACACCATTCTAGGCAACCACCTCGCGGGGTAGTACAAGCATAGCTCCCTTGGACAAAGACAAAGTCGCAACTACCGGCAACAGCGGCAAACACACGAAAATCACTACAAACCATGGCAGCCTTTTTCGAACAGCTATGGGAATCCATCTTCACGGCAGGGCCGACGCCCACGCTCCTGGTCGCGACAAACGCCTCCTTCGCCGCACTCCAGGTCCTCCTTTTCGTCATGCTCGTTGTGACGTATAGCATACACTTTGTCATCCTCTCCGTCCTATGTGGAGGTCTCTGGTGGTCAATCAACTGGTTCGCGGCTGAAATCAAGGCGGCGCAGGCTAAAGAGGAGGAGGCGAAGCGCATCAGGGAGGCTAGAAGAAGCGGCAAGGACAGGGGCGACGGTGGGGACGGAGAGGCCATGGATACGGGCGACGATACCGAGGTTGAGCCAGAGGCAGAGCAGAAGCAGACACTCAAGCCCAAGACGCAATCATCTCGCGCGCCGCGCCCAGAGACGCAGAGCACCGTGTTTGTGGACAGACCAAGCGGAAGCGATACACAAAAGACATCACAAGCTCAGGCCCAGGCTCCTGTTTCTACTGGCAGCGGAGGCCCTACTGCCGCGAGCACGACAGGAACGACTACGAGCCTCGCAGCGCCGGTGGACGAGGCAGTGAAGAGAAGGAAGGGCATGGGAGAGTCGACGGGCGACATATCTACAGACAGCGAGTGGGATAAACTTTCTGAGGATTCGGAGGATAGATGAAGACATTGCCATGTATTTTGGGTGGAATTGTCATGTTCATGTATGCTTTGGATACTAGACGCGATTAAAGTTTGTGCATGTCTGTACCTCGATGTCATTACACGTGAACACGCGATACCGTACATTGTGCCCTGCATATACGAATAGTGGTGATCCCGAGTGCTCTCACTCTCACGAATGTACCTCTGGTCTTGGTTCTGCCTGACGATACTTTCCCTGGAACCCGTATTGTACTTACGCGACGCTGGTCCTTTGATGCCCAAACACTTTGGCTCGAGTGGCGGTGCTTTCCATGGCCGCCATCATCAAGGGTCCCGGCTGCCCCGCCATGTCTCCAGCATCATCCATCACAGTGCTGGGCAGCATCACATCACACCACACACAACACATGTGCACTACCCAACGTCAGGTAGCGCTGGATGCAACTTCCACATGTCGCTGATGCCGACGCGTCACCTCAACCCGCATCGCTAGCGGCCCAGTTTGTGCAAGAGTTGTTGCCTTGAGGCGTCTATTCACAACCATCTTGTGCTTCCCCGCTGCACATACAAACCTCATTAGCAATGGCGACGCTCAACACGCCCGTAAGCGTCGCAGAGGTGGCCGAACAGGCTGGCAACTACACGTACAATGTTCACATTCCACTGGCAAATTGGCTGCGTACAGCCAACACCATGCAGAAAGAGGTGCGTCGTTAGATATGTTCATCATGCCTATGCTCACCAACACAGGCGCAAGTCTACGAGGCAGAAGGCAATGACGCGCAGACGTACCTTCTCCTATATCGCCACGCCGACCTTGTTCTTCAAAAGTTGCAAGCACACCCAGACAGGAACAAGCCCGAGAATCGCAAGGCGCTCAATGCTGCCACGGCCGCCGTCAGTCGCGACTTGAAGAAGCTCGAAGAAATCGCGCCGCGCATCAAGAAGAGACACGAGGAATATGAAGAAAGGAGGAAGAGACAACAGCAGGCCCTCAAGTCGCTGGAAGGAAAGGGTGCCAGGACCCTCCCTCTGGAGCTGGACGGGCTGTCACTTCAGGATCCAGGCACCAAGAGACGATCATACGACTCGAGGCCGACGATTGATGCACGCGTCCTAGAGAACCAGTCACTGGCTGCACGGCTGGCACAACGTGAAGTCAGGCGGAGAGACACGAACAGGAGGACCGCGCGGCAGCATGGTGTGTCGGAAGAAGAAGAGCAGGCACGGCGTAGTGGAGGTTCATGGGATAGATGGCAGGATGATTTGTCTCAGCAAGCCGGCGACGGAGATGATGTGTCTAGCCAGATACAAGAGGTTGCCAGGCTCCAGCAGAACGGCCACAGGACGTCATATTCGTCGGTAGGTGCAGACCATGGTTTCTTGCTGCGTGTACTGACAAGAGGAGCGTCCAACTTCCCAGTCTTCATCCTCCTATCACTACCCCACCGTCCCATACAAGACGTCCCAAGAGAGGTGGGACTCATCACGCGATCCAGTACCGACACGACCTCCCAAAGAGCAGATATACTCATCCTCGGCGTCACCAGCATCGCCGCCACCGCTGCCTCCCAAGTATACAACATCTCCACACGACGCACGATACCAGCACGGACCTCCGCCCGTACCTGGAAAATACTCAGAGAGCGCGCCGCCACTGCCAGGCAAAGTACCCGACCCCCGCTCAATCACTCCTTCGAACGAGTTGGACGAATTCACCTTTAAGCCATCTGCCTTCCTCGAAAACGGGGATCCTCTGCGACCTGTCTTCCTTCCCTCTCAACTTCGCAATCAGTTCCTCGCATCTGCTTCGTCCAACACACGTCTGAACCTCGAGACATGTGGTATGCTGTGTGGAATACTCAAATCCAACGCTCTTTTCATAACTCGCTTGATCATCCCTGAGCAAACGAGCACAAGCGATACCTGCGAGACGCTGAATGAAGAGGAGCTTTTCGATTACTGTGACAAGGAGGAGTTGATGGTGCTTGGCTGGATACACACACATCCCACCCAGACATGCTTCATGAGTAGTAGAGACTTACATACTCATGTCGGCTACCAGGTTATGATGCCGGAGAGCATTGCGATTGTGTGTGCACCGACAAAACAACCCAGGTAAGTAGATGGACAGAGCCTCTTGATATGAATCAAATATACTAACCACAATACACAGCTGGGGATGTTTCCGCCTCACTGATCCCCCAGGTAAACAAGCCATCCTCAACTGCAGTCGCCCTGGTATCTTCCACCCCCACGACGTCGACAACATCTATACCGAAGCCCTCAAACCTGGTCACGTAGTCGAGTTGACAAACGCGCCATTGGAGATTGTCGACATGCGGCCTAAGAAGCGGTTTTAGTCACCGTCTTCTATTGATGAGTCAGAAGCGTAATCACGAAGATATGCATTGTAACAGAAGCTTGATATTGCATAGCGAGGTGTTTTGGGGGGTATACATCGTGGCTATGCGTAGATGGAACATGGCTTATGTTTGGTTGTATATATGACATGGGCTTTATGTTAAGATAGTTTAGTCAGTACATTAGTATATGTAGTCATCACCAGTCATAAACACAGCACATAAAGCTATGCCTAGAACAGGCTATAGTCAGCATATCAACACATCCTTCACAAATTTCTGCACAGGCAGAAAAAAATCGCAAGCACGTCTGGACAGTCCGAACAAAATCCGGCTTTCTGTCTCGCTTGGAAAAGCCTGATTTGGTTATCCATCTATGCATGACTTCTTTTTTGTTATTTTCTCTGCTGTTGGGGGTGTGGGGGTAGTTTGTGTACATACAACGCTAAGAAAAAGGTGTGGAGGTTACATGCATGCTGCGTGTGGCGCCAGACAGGAACCTGTTCCTGCCAAGCTTTGACTCATAAACACTAAGCAACTTCTCGATTTTCTGCCATCTCACGATCGTTGACGTCATTGCTCAACTTTTCTCAGCCTGCAGCAAACTTGTTGTCACCTTTTTGCTCGATTAGCGATTAGACATATCTGTAAGGTTTTTTAGTCGATTGATTTTACGTACGTATCGTATTATATGGGTTTAGGTGAAATCAGGATAGTGGGTAGAAGAAATTTGGGGGTCACGAATGGGGTAGGAATTTTCTCTTTTCGCTCGTTTGGGAGTTTTTGGCAAGTTACTCGGGGCTGGTTCGCTTTGCCTTGCCTTGCATGTACATACAAGTTAAAGCACGACTAAACATGACCGATCAATCTAAGCCGACATAGGTATCGAAAGGGGACCCCCCCCCAATCGATTGCTAATGCCGGTTTACCGAAGGCAATAAACGCGATTGTATCGAATTATGGACTTATATTATGAAGTGTCATACCTACTATTCCCGCCCCTATCACTTTTCCTAATCCAGCCTCCATGTGTCTCGTTATACCCGTGTCCGAAAACCCTCGGCCACTATCTCCTTGTTCTCTTTCCTCTCTTTCTTTTCTTCTTTTCTAATCTTCCTTTCTTAGTAACCCACGCTAGCAACCGTACTTACCATGGTGTAGGTAACCACCCTAAACCATGTGAATTGAGAAAACAGGTTTTATTTCCTTTTTACTCGCTCGGGAATACAGCGGAGATGTGGGTAAGTATTACTTCAACTTTATCGGTATTGTAGAGTCTTGCTTGCGGGACTATGGTGTTTTGGTAGCGTCATGGTGTATGGAATTCTTAGTGGTGTTGTGCGTCGAGTGCGCTGGTTCTGGCTAGCATCATACGGGGGAGAAACAGGTATTGTGTGGCGCATGACGCGTGGCGCGGGGTTTGTGATGGGGAATGAGTGGCTGCGGCGTCATGGTTAGTTGAGAGACAAGGGAAGGATGTGATTGAGCAAGTTGCACATGTGATAGATGGCAGGTTTGGTTGTCTTGAATTGAGGAAACTTTGGTGTAGGATATACACTTCATGCTATCTATCCAACATTCATCCACTCATGTACCAAGTCTTACCTTTCAATCTACACAAACCCAAGAAAACAAAACAAAACGTCTTAATCAACCCATTGGCACTGAAATCAGCGAAATACAAGCTTCGTTCGCGGGTATCTCTAGAAAGAAAACTAGCCGCGTGGCTTTTTTCTTTTTCTCTTTTCTGCCTTGTTTACGTGGTCAGGCACACAATCGAACACCTAACATGACTTGTCTAGTACCATGGCGTCGGGGGAAAGATGGTCCATGTCCAAAGCATCTACATTTGCCGTGCTTGAGGCCCGAGGTGGTGGCGTCGATTGATACAGTAGCATGGTTACGATTGGGGTGAAAAGACGCTAGGTACTTACTAAATCGAGACCAAGGTAGTCTTCAGCATGCATTAAAACAGCTAGTTTCGCCCTTTTGCATCGACTGAATCTCGTTTTCTTACCTAAGAAGACCGAGATAACGCTCGAGGCCAACATCTGTTCGTGAAGAGCGCATGTCCCAGCCAAGAACTAGACTGTTGCGCTTGTGCAGAACTATGGCGTCAAGTGGTTGGGATGGCACATGTTTTCCGATCCTGTGGTGCCGAAATACGATGGCCAGCGGGGAAGGCTTGTGGAACTGCATGTTTCCCAGCGGTCTAGCCACGCGTTCTTTCAATGCAAAATCGGAACTGGTGTTTGATGTGGGAGCGGTAAGGAAGGCGTGGTATGGCTTGGCAGTAATAGCCGCAGGGCTCGTAAGTTCGCTACGCAGCTTCTTTGTGGGTACTTGGTGACATGCATGGCATGCGCAATGACGACGTCCTGTGTATTAACGCCTCACGCCACGATGTTTCAGAATGCCCCGATGACAGGTTCTGGTAAATTTGCAAAAGTCTGGCCTATCTTCGTGTTCCTACCTCCTATCATTTAGCGCGCTCGAAGTTTGACCAAAAGCCGGATATGTAAAGTGGGTATAAACTTTCTGGCACGGGTAACGGGTGGAACGGATGATCGGCAAGCAAGAAGCGACGGTCCCCAGGCGTGAAGCTAGAAGTTAGTTAGCCAGATATTGCGCTGGCTGTGACGTCGTCGAGTGGGCCGTCTGCCGAAGCAATATGAAATCTAGGTGTCTAGATCCTTCCACGGGAGAATCCGAGGTGGTTGCAACGGTTGGTTAGTTACAGCGGTTTGGAAACATCAGGGCCGCAGGCAAGCCGCTAGTGATGTGTACGTGTTGCATCGGCAGGCAGTCAGGGGACTGGCGAAAGATGAAGGTGAGCATCGAACTGAACGAAAGAGAGCGTGAGAAGCAGATCGGTATCCTGGGCGCGAGAAAAATACTGTCCAGAGAAAACATTCATTCGTTTCATTTCCGACTTCGCCGATTAATTGGCAAACGTTCTTCGTGGGGCAATGCTAGCCACTGCCCTTGAGGAAACATGCTATGTAAGATGTCGTAGAAAATCGCTCAGGCCTGCCAGCCACGGTATACGATCTTGGTGCCGTATTTTTCGCCCTTCTTGAGAACCATCATCGACTTATACTCGGGAATGTTGATGGCGTTCACGTAGCGACTGGGCTCAACACAAAAGCCTGAGCGAGCACCCCTAGCGGATAAGTCGCCAACGGCAGGGACGTCGATGTATTTGCCAGTGTAGAACTGAAATGCGGGCTCGGTTGAGTGAACTTCGAGATGGATTTTGCTTTCTGGGTGATAGAAAGATGCAAGCTTCTGCAGGGGTGAAGAGCGAGTATCGATAGGAATGCTGCTGGGGTCTGTGTTGGCTACGAAACAGTCATCAATGTCGGGCTCCTTCTCGCCCAATGTAAAGGTCTTCTTGGCGCTAACGCCAGGGTACTCCTCGATAGGGCCTGTGGGGATACCGCCGTCGTCGACGACTTGATACTTGTTTGTGATGAGGTTGACTTCTGTTCCCGCGATGCTCGGTCCTCCAGTCAAGTTGAAGTAGCTATAAGGTTAGTCAGCAAAATGGACCATTCAACATATGGCGCAAGGCCTACCTATGGTTCGTCATGTTGATTGCGGTCTCAGAGACTTCATCGCCAACCAATTCAGCCTCGTACTCGATGTGCAAAACCTCTTGGTGGGCGCCATCGACATTTTCTTTTTCCTGGACATACCACACGCGTACCTCTAGAGTCCCGGGGTAACCCTCCTCGCCATCTTTGCTGAGATACTTGAAGAAAGTGGCTTCCTTGCCATTACGGTCAACAGTAGAGGGTCCCTCAAATTCACGCTTTCCAAAGCCTAGATCTCCACCATGGAGGGAGTTGGGACCGTCGTTGATCGCCAGCTGGTACGACTTTCCGTTTAGGTCATTGATCTTCGCCTTGGACACGCGGTTGGCGATACGGCCAATGGTCTCGCCAAAGAAGGGTGCATTGTATTGCTTGTACAGCTCCGCAGACGGAAATCCCTGCACAATGTTCTTTCCGTTCACAGTAAACTTTTGGATGATGGCGCCCAGTGGCAGAAAGGTGAAGGCTTTGGCTGAAGACATGATGCAGGCGATAATGTGACTGATCTTGCTTGGTAATGCAGTACAGTCCGACACGTACGTATGGCCTGCCTCGCTTCTGTTAGCTGTATGTCCGAATGTGATGGGCGCACGTCGCTGATTCGTGCGGCGTGGTGTGATGAGGGGTAAACGACTGATGCGGGGCTGCTGCGAAAGCTACTCACCTCAGCTGAGTGTTTTGATTTATGCCTCAAGTGGAGAGAGGTGATACTTTTTGTTGAATTGACTCCTTCTAAACCCAGTCTATATGGTTGCGGACGAAAAGTGTGCAGAGCAGACTTGGATACGTATGTGGTATTTGATTAGCCTAATGAGCTCGGGAGCATGTGGAGCGCTGGTAGATATCCTTTCTGCCGTTGCCCACCACGTGAAGAGCCACAAGAGTGTTTGCGTGTGAATGCGCCAATGACGCGTCGGGCGGCATACCGAATGGAGACGTTGTTCGTTGAGACGGTCTGTCACGTCGCATCACGCCTCAAGGCATCGTGGCGGTGCGTTGGAGAAGTGGCTGCTGCATTGTTTAGTAATCCGGAGCCAAGGCGCACATTGCACAACCCGACAGCCGCAAGGAAGGATCAACATCATCTCGATATGATACGATTAATATCTATGACACCATTACACACCCAGTTCCCATGTACAGCATGGCCGTGGTCTATGCTGTAGGAATGCCGATCCGCGGAGTATCGTCAAAACCGTTCCCTGCGTACCAATTCCAATTCACATCATAGTGAAGCGTCGAGATGCTGAAAGTAAAATTTAAAGGAAATTCGCCAGTTGATCATCGGAAGCCGAACCTGACCGATAACGCCCACTACCATGGCCGAAACAAACGCCGTGTAGGAATCCAGAGTACCACAAAAACGCTTGAACGCTAAACGAAGACACGGAGGAAGAGCGGAGATAAGCCCGGACCAATAATTAAGCACGTGCTGGGTTTTGGATGAAGGTGGTAAAGTCCATGTCGCTGTGAGTATTCCAGTCTGGCATCATAGGGTCGCTCGGGTTCATCGCAATTGTGTCTACCATCATGCTCTGGTCGTAGTTGCCGTAGCTATCGAATTCGTACATTGGCTTGAAGTCGATCGAATCGTCCATCATGATTGTCGAATCGTTCATCCATGGCGCCCTTGATAAAGTTGAAGGATCCATAGCGCCGGAGCTCATAAATACCGGTGAAGCCATTTGCGGCTCCTGCTTGATTGGTTGGACGATTTGTGATTGGCGTGGGAACGGGCTGTTCATCGGTGGTGTTGGTGGTGCAGTGTTACGCGCAAATGGGCTCTCCAAGGCAACCGATCTGGTAGTTGGGGTTCCGTTGTACGACGAGCTTGACGAAGCATGGCCATGGTCGGATTCTGAACTGACAGAGATGCGTCGTCGCGTGTATGGAGCACCTCCCTCGAGCAACCTCTGCTGCATACGGCTGCAATCTTCTTCAAATCCCTCATAATGGGTACCATTCTCGCTTGGAGAGTTGAGGAGATCAAGGCGTTCCAGGATGTCGTGTGTCAGAGGATAGCCACTCGCAGTCTCTTGCAATGGCTGCCCGGGCCAGCTTTCGCCTCGTTGCAACCGAGTGTAGAGTTCCCGAAGACCGGCTACCAGTTGGCTTTGTTGCTGCTCAAGCATCTCAACATATCTATGCTAATTAGCCCAAGTATCATGAAAAGAGGAGCATATAGCGTACCCTTTGGGGTATACTTTGTCTTGTGACTTCTTCCTCTCGCCAAATACACAGATGGCATTGTCGGCTTTGCATCGACTACATGGACTGGCTCCATCGCACTAATATGGTTAGACAGGCTGGTGGCACACGTGAAGAAGAACGTACTTTTGACTTCTTCAATCGGCAGCGGTCACAGGCTTTGCATACCCGCTTCCTGATGCTGTCTTGTGCTTCCATGGAATCTGACCGATGAGGAGACATGTTGTCTGTAACGAGAAGTGAAGTGTTCCCACTTATACAAAGTGAGGTGGTAGTGGTGGTGTGATGTTTGATGTCCAAGTGGTTGTGCAGGACGAAGACGATCACTCTTTGAAGGTGTGAATTGTTTGAGCAGAAATCGTGTGAAGTGTCAAGTGGAAACTGGAGCCCTAAGTACCAGCGTAGCCCTGTGTGGGTAGCAAAGCATTATATCTGTTCGCGTCAGAGGGTATTCCAGGCGGACGTTCGGCGTTAACCTTGGGCTGCTCGGCGCAAAAGCTCAGTAATGAAACTGTAATTATGAAATGCGCCGGCCATGGGCTGTTAAACCCCTGTCTCTTTACACATCATCAATCGGCGCACGCACGTTGGACTACATTGGTTGGCGTACAGGGATGCATGGCTTGGTGCAGGGGCGCCAACCTTACAAGGACCGGGCTGAACGCGGCGGAGAAGTGACATAGCAAAAGCGCGGAGTCGGCCAGCGAGCGGACCGTGACTATGACCCAGGGAAGATGCTGTCTAAGAAAATCCCCTCGCGCTGGTGGTCGCCCGCATCCAGAACAGCTGACGTTTGCTCGGCGAAAATGCGGGCGAAAAGACAAGATCGAAAATCCCTCCTGATCGCAGTCTCGCAGTCTCGGCAACCGGCATTTTCACATCCACGACCAAAAACGTGCGGACAAAATCGTCTTTTCTAGTTGACCATGGACATGTGGTCGTTCGATATGGTTCGAGCATTCGTTTATCTCCTTCAAGCCCCATCGATGGCCAAGTTTATTGCTGATGTCAATTTAACAACTGCTTCATTGCTATGGCCTTTCTTGAGCCTCGACCGAGCAGTCTTGTTGTTCATGAAAAGTCGCGCCTTCGGGGCCTCGTAATCACATCTCCGACCTGGACGGAGCAAGATGGGGAAAAGGTGAGCGGCAGTGAGGCGGCAGAGCGTCTCGTGAGGGGACACACATCAACGTTGTTCCAGTCTCCGCCTTGATCGACAGGACGGAGCAACTCATTGAGCACCCAGAGGCACCAAACAACCGCGAAATTCGCCGTCTTGAAAATAAAACGGCGTCCTGCCAGTAACTGCAATTGTAAGCGCGATCACATTCAGCGAGCTGCATCGTCTAGAACTGCTGACTGCACCCCTGCACCTTACACCGCCTCAGCCACAATTGCTCAGGTCAAAGAATTACGGAGGTGCCTTTCAAAAGTTATTGCTAGCGCGGTAGATCTATCGGCCCGATATTTCTTGGCACAGTCAGAGTTTTTGAAGCTGAAGATAGCAGTATCTTCGCTTTCTTTGGTGTTTCTCAAAGGTTAGTTATACTAGTAATGGCTCCTCGTTCTCACACAGACTCATTCACACGTGCTATAATTGTTACTTTAAAGTCCCGCTTTGTGGGCAAATCAACGAGCCAGATCAGCGAGATCCTGGGTATTTCCCCACGCACTATCGACGCTATCTTCAGCCGAGCCTGCCTTCGAGGCTTTGAGCCAAATGGACCAACCCTAAAGGTTCTTCCTGAACACCTTGAAGATGCTCCTCGCTCAGGCCGCCCACGTAAACAAGAGGCTATCCATGAACCTACTGTTGACAAAGTACGCCGTGACCGTTATGGACGAGAGAAGAGCTGTGCTGACATAGCTGGTGATCTTAGTCTCTACGGTTACGACGTCTCTCCTACCACGGTGTGGAGAGTCCTCAAGGCAGCAGGATACAAGAAGACGAAGCCGACGAGGAAGCCTGGGTTGACGAAGAAGATGAGACAAGATAGACTTACCTGGTGTCTCGCTCGTCAGCACTGGACTCTTGAGGACTGGAAGAACGTTATCTGGTCAGATGAGACCTCTGTCGTACTGAACCACCGCCGTGGTGGGTATCGGGTGTGGAGAAAGGCAGATGAGGCTCTTACAAGATCTGTGATACGAGAGAGGTGGAAGGGATACTCTGAGTTTATGTTCTGGGGCTGCTTCACGTATAATTACAAAGGTCCCTTTCATGTATGGAGGCCAGAGACAGCCCAAGAGAAGAGAGAAGCAGCTCTTAAGATTGAAGAGATGAATAAGATCCTAGAGCCTATTATGAGAGAGGAGTGGGAGCTTACTATAGGCATGAAGAGGATAGGCTTAAGGAATAAGCCTGGTAGAGCTCCTCAATGGAGATGGACTAAGGAGAATGGCAGAGATGTCAACAAGCAAGTCAAGCTGGCTTGATTCTTATCGATTGCAGATCACAGACAATATAGAGGCTCGTGCACAGTGGCACGTCCCAGAGAATGGTCTGTGATCTGCAATCGATAAGAATCAAGCCAGCTTGACTTGCTTGTTGACATCTCTGGAGAATGGGAAGCTCACTCGTGGTAATGATAAAGGTGGCATTGATTGGTGGCGGTATCAGACTGAGGTTCTTCTCCCGAAGCTTATCCCCTTTGCTAAGGAGTGTATGAGAGAGAGGCCAGGTACTCTTGTTCAAGAAGATAAGGCTCCCTCTCATGCTCACCAGGCCCAGAATATTATCTATCAACGAGAGAGTGTGGAGAAGCTCTTCTGGTGTGGTAACTCACCTGATCTCAACGCTATTGAGCCAGCCTGGCCATGGTTAAAGAGAAGAACTACCAAGAAAGGAGCTCCAAAGAGTAGAGGAGAGGCCACAAAAGCATGGGAGCAGGCCTGGAGTGATCTCCCACAGTCACAGATTCAGGCATGGATAGAGAGAATTCCTATCCATGTTCAAAAGATTATTGAACTTGAAGGTGGGAATGAGTACAAGGAAGGCAGAGGCCTGCCAAGAGTTCGTGGAGACTGATCTGTCTGTATTTCGGTAGTTTCTCGGTCAAATAGGAGACCCCCCTGTCAGCAATAACTTTTGAAAGGCACCTCTGTACACTGGCCAGTATTGCATCTTGAATGTTAGCTGATGGACAACTGCTCGTTGCCTTGCGCCATAAGCTGCTTGTTGACCTCCCAACCAAACGCAGAGTGACGAGTGGGCAGGTACTCGTGGCATCCTTTGACAAACTGCCTTGCATATCATCCTCTCTAATCTTACTGTCTTACTGAGCTCGGCTAATCATGTTTCATTCCTGCCTCAGCCACCACAAGCATGAAGCCGCGAGGCCAAGCCTGTTTACACATGTCCGTCCATGTGCACATGCGGGTGTGGGGGTATCATCTGGATTGGATTGTTGTCAAATTTCCATTGCCAAGTCATAGATTGCCTCGCCTTGACAGAGGTAAGGTTGGCCAGGCCCACCTAACGCGTCGTCAGGCGTGGCTGAGAAACCAGTTTCGTGCAATGTTGCGAAGACGTATTCGTACAAGCCCTAGGGCGCTTATACGAAATACGCTGGCAAGGCGTAACTATACTATACTGGTCTTATGGTGCATGAGAGTAACTTCTGCCGCCATGTCAGCGCAAACAGACTGCGTGTCAGCAGTAGTCTCTCGCAAAACATCCAAAACTTTGTCTACGGAACCTCTCCTTGCTCTTACGGCCTCGCAATCATGCAGAAGGCTGACATTGACATGACCAACATATCGTATCGCCGATAGTTCGTTAACATAAGCCCTATCAGCGTCTGCTGAGTGCTCTCGGCGACTTTCTGTTGGTTCGGATTCTTGCTTCGCCGACGAACAGACCAGTGCGGGCTCGGCAACAGCGATCATATTTAGACCAAGACTATGTCTGAGAGCTGGGCAGTTCTAGGACACTTTCGGGGTTTGCTGGCGAGAAAGTCCTCTAAATCGAGTGGTTGAAGGAATCCTGCTAATGGCTTCCGAGGACTTAGGCAAGGGAACATAGTAGGACGTCGTCCATTGCTCGCTCAAGGGACACACACCGATCGTGGCCGAAAGTCAGGCCGACTCACTCGCGATACCAGATTGCGTGGGGTACTGGGCAAACAACAATACAACTTCACCAAGCCAGCCGACTCATCATGGCAATTTGCACCATCTCGCTGGCAACCAACAACGGTCTTCCTTGCGACTTGGGCGAACACTGTTCCTTCCGCCCAACCATAAGCTTTCATCGTCGTCGTATGCTGTTTGAGATTACTACTTGATGAGCATGCAAAGGCTTGTCTAGTCGTCCTCAAATTAAGATGGTCGATCAGAAATGGATAGTTGGCTTGCAGCTCCCAAGACAGGATCCATTCACGCGGCTCTAATGACCTTGGTCGTAACAGGGGTGGAGAGTCGTCGTCAACAGCTGTTGCTCAGCACTTGCCAAGCCAGTACCAGAGACCTTGTTCATCCGCTGTATAGTTGTCGCACCAATGTGTTGTTCCTACTAACAAGCTTGGAATCACACCGCTCAGGTTGGCGACAGTCAAAACAAGGGCTATGACAAGGTTTCAAACCTGGCGGTTTCTCTGCAGGCAGCGGGGCCCTGATTCGAATTGATCTGGGGTTCCGATGCGTATTCTGGAGTCGATCAGCTGGCAGAGTGCCGTGACGAGCCAAGAAATGGACTTGTTTTGTTACAGAACCTGTGCTCACGATACTAGCCATTTCCGCAACGGAACAACGCTGGGCAGGACTGGGCGGCTCGCAAAGATACCGGGCTGCCGAGCCGCCGAGCCACAAAGGGGAAACGCTGAATGAAAATCATTTCTTACGGATACGAGGTTGATTTGGTCTGCCTAAGCACAGTAAGAAATTTGCAGAACTTGGGTATTGTATACATTTCATGAGCTGCGGTCAATTGCGGGGTTTGCACGGCTCCGTGCTGAGCCAACCTTGGACTCCGCCTCACCATGTTCGCACGCAAGCCTCAGGCATTGCTGGCACTTCCATGGGAGCCTTGTGCCATAGTTATTGGTGACTTGTCGCTGTCGGGTCGTCTTGCGTCCCCAGCGAGCAGGTTGCAAGCAACGGGGACGGTTTGGACCGCAGACCTCAGGACACCCGCCACGCTGGGCTTGGAGTTTTGATGCCAAGCGTTTAGTTAGGGTCTGGTTGTCAATTTGTTCGTATCTCTTTGCCAGGGCACTCTTTGC